TCCAGTTTTGTGTCCACAGGACAGTGAAAAGACCTTAGAATTCCTAATAATTTCCCCGTCCTTCCTCCCCCCGGTTTTAGCTAATCCCTTTCTTTAACTACCATCTTTTCTCGTCTTGTTTTTCGGTGTTTTCCCTTCTAACCACGCGGTGGTGCTGCAGTTAAAAATACCAAGGCGATAACACAAACAGCAGCACCTGACCATGGGATGGACCGAGAGCTGGGTGAGGGCCAGAAGCATATAGATGGTGAAGTGTGAGTTCATGATGAGAAAACAAGAGCAGCAGCCAACAGGCCTCAGATTCTGGCGGCAACTACAGCTCTGACCGAGCCCTGACAGAGCAGCTTGCACTTCTTAAAAAATTAGGGTTGCCACTCTGGCTACCCGGTGGCCCTGAAGCTAGCTTTTCAAGAGCCCTATCAGTGACTTGTCAGGAGACCACGCGCTGCTCCTCGCTGCAATAACGGCAGCTAGTGATATCAACTATCAACTCCACCACCCCGCACCAGCTCGCAAAGGTTTCAGCCCAGCATAATCCAAATATAGGCACTCTGGGGCTAACAGCTGTCACCCAACAAGTCCCAATCCAGATCTGACCACAGACAGGCCGTTAATTTTAATGAGCATCTCAGAACCCTGCCCAGTTGTTCAGCCTCAGTTCAAGCCAGTGCAAAGGGAACGTGTGGAAACGAGCTCTGCCGCCCACGTCAGCCTGGGCAGCGTGTCCCTGAGCAGCCCAGAAGGGAGATGGCACAGAGTCCCAAACACAAACCAGTTCCTCAGCCACCTTGGAATTTTTTTCCTGATTGTTAGCAAGACTCAGGAGCACAGATTCCTCACGGAAGGACTGAGAAACAAGGTAAAAGTTACTATAACTCATGTCCAACCCCCGCGCCTTTGAGATTGAGGATGATATGCTGAGCCATACACCCATTCAACAGGGAGCTCCAACTCCTCATGCTCCAGATCACACATCTCCAGAGCGGTTGTCCAGAGAAGGATCACTCACACCACTAAAAACCTCAGAGTTCCAAGACTATAGAGAGCATGGCTCTGAGCTCCTGGGGCACTGGGGATCAAGGACTGTCTGCATTCTCTCAGGTTCAGGTATTTCTTACAGAGCAGCCTGCAGGACTACAACCAGAGCCTCTGCTAGGAGGTTCCTTAGATAAGAATGACAAGGCATAACTCTGCCTCCTCCCATAATATTTGGGTTCAAAATATCCACAAAGCACTTGCTCTCATTCAGCTCCCTGCTTCCTACTTTTTGCTGTGATGCCTGAAAAATATTCACTAACAGCTGGGACTGTGGTCCTTTTCAATTTCCCTCCAGCTGCCCTCACAGCGCATGGTCCTTTTCAATTTCCCTCCAGCTGCCCTGAAGGGAAAATACGCTGCTCACAGCGCGTGTCCAAGGGCAGCCAGTCCTTCTATGCCCCAGGAAGGTTTTACTGACCTTAAGAGCCTCTGAGAGACCCTTACTGGAGAACAAGCATTGCTTGAGGATACAAGGTAGAGAAAGAGAGCAATTCTCTCATTTCCAGAGGATTTTTCTCTGCCCACAGACAATCCCTTGGGAATTAAAATGTTCTTCAGTGCCCTGGTTTTTCCGTCAGCCAAAGCCATGCAGCCATGCCCCAGTGAAAGCAGAGGGAGGACAGAGCTCCATGCACACATGGCAAAGCTGCTGGTCCTGTGTGTTACTTACATCTGAAAAGCAACAGTCTCACGAGGACAGAGCTCCATGCACACATGGCAAAGTTGCTGGTCCTGCGTGCTACTTACATCTGAAAAGCAACAATCTCACCCTGCAGGTTCTGGGAGATACCATTTGTGTTAGTTAATAAAGTTTTGGATGCTCTAGAAATCCCTGTGCCCATGCACAAGTCAAATGCATCGCTGCAGCTGTGAAAAACAGCCTAAAAGCTCCAGCTTCACTCAGGCAGGAGGGATATTTGCTTGGGCAAAGCAGAACTTGGTGGAAAAAAACCCCACATTATTAAAGGAAAAGTTAACCTAGAACCCTCCTTGGGGGAAAGGGGCAGGCAATGGTCAAGCGGCCAAAGAAAACGAGGATAAACTATTGCCAAGCAGGATTTAGAGATGATTTAGACTATCTGGAGGAACAACTAAGCCAGGCCAAGCAGGGTGGTGGGGTACAATCAAGGCAGGCAGAAAAGCGAAGTGATCCCTGAGGCTGATTTAAGCAGAGGAATGGCCAGCCTGGGCTGGAGGAGAGGCCGGGGAGCGGGTTAGAGCCAGGCTGGGTCCGAGCCAGCCAGCAACAGCCATACTCACTCAGGCACTGCAGACCACTTTTATTCACAAGGGGTTTGGCACACAGGGAGCAGCTGGTGCAACTGGAGAAAACCCCTGGCACGAGCTGGTGCCCATTGATCTCTTTCCATCTCTCTTTTGGCTCCTTTGTCTCTTTCTCCTTCTCTCTCTCTTTTGGCTGCTCTTTGTTCTTACCCTGGAGGGAGAGAAAAAAAACACAGCTCCGTTACCGGCCTCCCGCTGCCCACACATTCCTTTCCCCACTGGTAAAAACAAGAAAGCTGATGTGCAGCAGGCACCTTTGTGCCCTGAACCTTCGGGATGGTAGTGCTTTTCCCAAATCCCTTCCTAAGGCTCGGGCCAGTCCCTCTAGGGCCAGTTGTGCCTGATGAAGGGCAGGACACAGCACTGCAGCACGTGTCTGTGCTTCTGCAGGCTCTCCTCCTTGCCACAGCGGGGGATCCAGGCAGTCATCCAGCCAAAACACTGTCTCCTGGGCTGCACAATCTGTGCCAAGGCATCGAGAGAGCAGCCAGAAGGTGCCCTGGAGCAAGGTGGGCTCAAAGTCAGGGATGGCTGCGTCCAGGGATTGCGTTAGGGGTCACAGTGTGTCTTCTGACCAATATAGAGGCCTCACATCCAAAAGCAATCCAACTAACTGGTCCCTGGGCTCAGATCCCCTTTTCTACTTGAAGAATTCAATATTTCCTTCCACAAATTCAGCATCTCCTCCTCACCTTATCCTTCTGCCAGGACCCAGTGACTCGGCTCCGCAGGGAACTCAGGCGTCGCATCACCTTTGTGCCTTTCTCTGCTTTATCAGTCTTTCCACTGTCCTCATTTCTGAAAGAAGACCAAAACCATCTTAACTAAGGGGAGATTAACTGGTGAAGCACATTTTGGGGGAGATCACTGATGAAGTTAATCTCAAGTGTTACTTTAGGACCCCATCTCTGAGCTTTCCGTCTCCTGGAGGATCTGGTTCGGCATCAGTCATGTTATTTATTAATGGGACACTTGCAAATAAGGAGATGAACTTCCAAATTGTCTGTGCAAGTTCTGGCTGTGTCTGTGGTTTTGTTCAGCACAACGAGGCACCGATCCTGGCCTGAACCACTGCAGGTAGCAGTGTCCTGCACACAGGATTCGCAGGGCAGTAGAGCTTAGATGGAGGGGGGCTCGAAATCAGTTGCACACAGGATTCGCAGGGCAGTAGAGCTTACATGGAGGAGGGGGGCTCAAAATCAGTCCGCTCTGGGAGCACAAAGTGTGTGGGCAACCACCTGGCTCACTTACTCGTTGGACAGGAACTCAAACCAGGTGAGGTTCTGCTGGGAAGAATCGCTGCCTTCTGGCACACAAACTCCCTGCTTCGCCCTGTGCAGGAAAAAGACTTCAGACACTCAGCAAAGAACACAAGAGGGAACTTCTGGGTCAGCGGAAAAGCCCATTTTTGGAGATGGGCCCAAACTTGTTTAGAGTTAGAGAAGAGGCACAGGAATTGCCACTTCTCTGTGCAATTCTACCCTGGTTTCACTGGGAAAATACAGAGATTCTGGCACGCTGGAGATTTGCAGTTCAGGGGACCAAGTGTCACTTGCCAGGTGGGTCCTGGGCAGACCCGTGACATCCCCACCCACATCCCTCTCCCACACACACTTACCCATGATATTGTTTCAGCTCCTGAAGTACCTGCTGGACAATTAGCCTACCAGGGATGGGGCAAAAGAAAAGCAAGGGATTAGAAAATTGTCTTTGCAAAGATATTCTGCACCCCACAAAGCATCAGGCGCTGGCTTACAACCAACTGCTCAGCTGTGCCCCAGCATGGAGTGGGATCTCCTTTGCTATTGCATCTCCAGTAGCTCAGATAGACTGAAGAATCTCTGCCATCTCAAAACAGCCAGGACTGACAATACCTACACGTGGTCTGGGGACACGTGGTCCTTCTCCAGCATCTCCAGAGCAGGGGGTTCAACACCTGGAACACAAACCACTCTCAGCAGGGATCCTGCTTTGCCTTTGCAGAGCACCTTGTTGCAAGCTGTGAGACTGAACCCCACTGGTCTTGCTGGGCTCCCACTCTGCCTTTAGTGGGGAGGGAGAAGTTAGGGAGGAAAAGGCTACACGACATTTCTGCGAGGGAGGTGAAGGCTACAGCACTTTTCTGTGTTACCCCTCCCTTTCCCAGTCTGTATGACATCAACTTCTGAGGGTCCTGCTTGCAGCCAGAGGGTAGGAGCTGGTACACCCCAGAGACCCTTCCCGTGACAGCCAGCTTCCCCTCCACCTCCCAGGCTGTGCCCTTAACATGTCTTGACAGTTTGCTCTGGGGCAGTCCTCACAGGTGGGAGAGCTTAGCAGATTCCAGCAGCACAGAAAAGGCCAAAATTAAGTTTACAGGAGCTGAGTTGCCTCTGGTTTTCTGTTAGCCAGGATCAGACTCAAAGTCAGCTTGACTTTTTATTTCAGGAGCTCCTGGGACCGTGTGGAAGGGAAGGGCAGGGGATGTCTAGCCTTGCAGGGGCTACATCTCCAGTTTTAATCAGAAACACCTTGAACTCATGTAATGCCATATATATATAGTCTATACCAACCTTCCACGGCTGGAAGAGAAGTGTCAAAACTGCAGGGTATCTGAGGGGAGGCAACTGTCTCACAGGCTGATGGGACAGACTTTGACCTCAGTCTCTTCCCATTGCTGCCACGTTCCTGCAGAAGGAAAAAAAATCATGGAAATCTTTGGTCCTTTGTGCACCAAGGGAGCTTCCACTGGGGCACAGCATGGCTGGCAGGGCAGGAATCTTGAGTTAGGTTAAGATCATCCCTACTTTCCTGCAGCCTCTTGCCCTCCATGCCCACCCTGGCAGCCCCAGGGCGGGTTCCCTTGCTGCCTGGCTTGATACCTGTGGTCTCTCAGGATTAGATCCAGACCCCAGATATCACTGGGAACAAACTGATTCCTCAGCCATTCCCTCTCTTGTTTTGTTGGGGTTATGGTGACAGGACACCATAAAGCCCAGCTGTTGGTTGACTTCAGGTGTGGGCTCCAGGGAGGCTGGAGCAAGTGCCATTTGGGGCTAAAACCTTCTCAGGAAATTTAGAGGATACATAGCACTGTGATACAATTGTCCTTTTAATATTAATTGAATCCAAAGAAACTCCCCAGAGGAAAGCAGTGTGAAATGGGGAGGTGACCCTGCTGTCTTCGACTCCCTGATTGTAGAAAAGATGGAGCCAGACTTTTCTTAGAGGGGCACAGTGACAGGACAAGAAGCAACGGGCACAGGTTGCAGCAAGGGTAATTCCAACAAATTTATGGGAAAAGAGGGCTGAGCCATCAGCCAGCTCCCAGGGCCTTTATCCTGCAAGAAGTAGCAGTTTGTCTCAGAGCAGAGAAATCCCATCCTTGCTGAGGTTCCTCAGACGTCTGGGCATACCTGGTTCAAGGCTGGCATCGAAGGAGTCCAGCCTGCAGCCTGACACTCACGTGTGTCACCTGCACCCCCAGCTGGCCCCACTGCCAATATGTGCACGGCCCTTGCACACTCACCGCCTCCTCCGAGCCGGGGCTGACAGTGAGGTTGGGGTGCAATGGCTCTATCTCCACTTTGATCACCATGCCACCCCCTCGCCAGCTTTCCAGTTCCCCTTTGGGCAGCTGAAGGGACACACGAGGCGGCGGGCAGGACTGGCTCCCCTTCTCCACATCCTCCTGCTCTGGGTCGCTGCCCATCTCTGTGGTATCCAGGCTGAACCTAATTCAAGGAAGAGGAACAAAGCAATTCAGCAGACCCATCTCATTGTGCCAGGCACGGCACAGCCCCTGCAATGTCCTGGCCATGGGTGGACAATCCTACAGAGCTCATGCAACTGGGATGAGGAGGGTCACCACAGCAGGCACGTGGAAAAGGGAACGTTGGGAGGCGTCAGCCCAGACACCAAGTCTTGAGCCTGTTAAAAACAGCTTCTCTGGCTGCCATCAGCCAGACCACGAGCTCCTTGGTCACCCGGGATGTTTGGTGCTGGACCTCTCGCTGATCTCTTAGCAACCCCTGAGACTGTGCAGCCACCCAGACAGCAGCCTGCCTGGCCTGCGTGAGAGCTGCTGCCCTGCTAGCAGGGCATTTAGAAATGGCATTTAGAAATGGCAGATGTTGTCGTTTATCGAATCATCACTGTGGCATCAGGTCATAAATCCCTCTCCCACCGGGGCCCGGCTTCGAGGAAGGAAAAAGAAATCCTTTTCTGGGAAACGAGGGGTGGACCAGCTCCCCCAGTGCCCCACGGTTTCCCGAACACCAAGTGCTGTTGCAGTGCCAGCAACATGGGAGAGAAATGATGGATAGGGCTCAGTGGAAAATCTTACTCTCTGCATGGGTTCTGTCTGCAGATCACTGTCACTTCATTCCTGCTGCCAGAGACAGGCTTCAGGAAGCATTTGCTTAGGGGACAGCGGGGTGTATTCCCCTCCCATGGCCCCGTGCTCACACGTGTTTAATCACCCAGAGAGGGGACCAAGTCCCTGACACTGACACTGTGCCACCATTGCCCGTGTGCTGTTACACAGCACAAACTGTGAATGATCCACAGCACACGCAACAACACTTGGTCTGAGAACCAAGCCTGAGCTTGACAAAGAAACGCCAAGATTTCAGGCTGAGATAATTTTAGGGTACCTTATAAGGAGGAGAGATAAAAATAGTTCTTGCTGGCTTACACCTAACTCCCAGTCATCTGGGAGATCAATACGTTTGTCAGCAGGGAGAGCGTGCTCGTAGCATGGAACCCAAGGCATTTGTGTGGCAGGAGAACAGCACGGCCTGGAAACTGCTCCTGGGCCAGAGCTCAGCATCAGGCTACAAAATACACTGTCCTCTGCAGCCACGTGGAGGACAAAGGGCTGGAGGACACGGCGGTGATTGCAGGCACAGATCCCACCAAGCCGACTGACAGAAGAAAAAGGATTTGACAGAGCTCTCTTGATCCCTCTGGGTGGGCAAAGTGGCCTTTGAGCCAGAGGATGGAGGCATCGGGGCTGTTCAAGGTTCCCTCAAGACAGAGAAAGCTCTCCCTAGATGAGAGATCCTCCTCCCAGCCCCAAGACCAGGAAAAGAGAGTCTTCCTGCTGCCAAGGAGATATTAAAGCCTCTTGCTGCTCTAGCATCTGTTCCTCCACGTCCCACCCAACAGGAGCAGTAGGCGTCCAGCTGCTTTGGCAGAAGCTGACAAGGGAGGAGACCACCCAGCAGCAGCTGGAGCTCAGGGCAGTGTGATTGCTCCAGCCTCACGCAGCATCGTTGTGCCATACACATCAAATATTGCTCATGGTCCTGCTTTACCTGCGCTTGCAGTCCACGGGTGACAAAGGGCTCTCCCAGCTGTGCCTCCGAGAGGTAGACATGGATCTCACCAGCGTGGGGAAGAAGTCTTTGGCCTCCTGCAGGTCCAGCTCTTTGTCTGCCTCTGCAGGACACTCAGAAGTGCTGGTACCATCTTCTGGCACCGTTGCGCAGGAGCAAACGTGGCCTTTGTTCAGAAAGCGGCAGTCGGCCTCGCCGTAACGTACCGAGGAGGAAACAGGGTTGGAAAAAGCAACATCCACAGACATTTTGCTCAGAGCCCTTGGTCTCTCCTCCAATAAGCGGACAGCAGACACAGCCTGCGCTGCTTGTTCTGGCTGCGCTGCCGCCTCTGGTGCTGTTTTGGCAACTGGTGGGCTCAGGAGTCCCAGGTCTCTGTAATACTCCGACCCGTGGAGAGCAGAGTCTGAGAGGAGATCCTCTGTGCTGCTGTGCATGTCTGCTGCTGGGACATCCAACTCCATGGAAGATGAGTCCTCCTGCAAAGGCAACCACAGCTGAGCCTGAGCACACAAATCCCATCTGAGAGCCTTCTGTCCATCCTGCAAAGGGGACACCTCCTGTGTGGAGCTGCTTTTCCTTCCCTCCGCATGGCCAACAGCCCACCTGCAGGTAGAGGGGCCAGGCCTGCAGCTGAGCTTCTCAAACCTGACTTTCTAGTAACAGCACCCTCCTACTGCACCTCGCAGCCAGACCTGCCCCAACCCCACCATCTCAGCTTCCTCTTGTCCCTGAGGTCTCTCTCTCCTTTATTCCCCCCTATCGCCAACACAAAGCACAGAGGTGGGATTTTTCCAAGCAGCAAAAGCAATATCATCTTGTATTCCTTGATAATCTGGATCAGTATCCCTTTCCCCCATCCTTATTCCACCCCAGTCCCTCTGAACATGCTGCTGACCACCAGTTTGCCAACCCTGGCTCCTGCTGCATGTGGTGGTAGCAGAGGCAAAGAGGACACTTGCCTTTTCTTCAGCCATACTGGTGCAGAAGGTGTCATCCTCAGCTATCAGGGACGGGAGGAAGCTTTTGGGGTTGGGATACTCCAAAGCAGGGTTGCTGTGGTCAGTGAATTCCCGTAAGCGTGGCTTGCAGTCGGATCCTGCAAGACAGAGAAGGTCACAGCACATCAGCAGACGGCCAGGAGGGATGTAAAACCAGCCACACACAGAGAGGTGACATTAGGCATCACCAAAATGCTCCTCATGGCCCTCTGCTCCCTTGCCCCTTGCAGACAGGCACTGCCAGGAGACCTCAGGACCCCAGCAGCCTTGATCCTGTTGGAACCCCATGTAGGGGTGCCCTAACAGCAGAAACCTTTTTCTTTGATCCATGGCATGTGCAAGGGCAGAGACCAGGCTTGCACCATCCAGCCAGACCCTCGTAGGACACCCTACAGCCATAGGCTGTTTCCTCAGCTCGACAGAAGAGCTAAGCACATTTTGAAGCCTGTTATTGACATTATGGACATTTAAAGCAGGAATCTATGAAAAAAACCACTGACTGATTTTATTTTCATCCTTAAGGAGTAAAAGATGCCACTGGGAGGCCAAATTGGAAGTGCATTAGTGACTCCAGACAGCACTGAACGTGCAGAGAAATTGGAGGAGTGGGTATTTCTCCCGGTGCCGGGTCACTCGTGTGGATTTTCCCCGCACAAGAGCGTGAACCTGAGCGTGTGTACACCCGCCCATAACTCATTGAGAAGCAAAAACAAGGTCTGGACGTGCTTCGTGGTCCAATAGATGGTCCAGCTGACTGAAGCACATTCCTATGCAACGAGACACACTGTAAACCTTCACCACCATCTCTAAACCACGGCGTGACTCACGGAGACCTTTTATTCCTTTGAGATACGTACAGCTGAGGCCGATGGAAAAAAGCCAGGCTGTTGGCTGGAGCCCGGTGGTGGATCTCTGAAGATGCAGAGAACAACAGCAAGAGACTGTAAGTGGCCATATCTATCCAATGGGGGAAAAAAAAAAGGGCAAGAAACTGCTAGAAGCCCATCATAGTCCAGGAAAGCCAAGTATAAAAACATGAATACGAGGAAGATATTGTTAAAAAAACCACACTCTTGGAAACCTTGCATCCCCACTGTGGGTTTTAATGCTCCACAACGTGGCCAGGAGTCGCGTGGTGCCAACTAGGAAAAGGCAGCAAACGTGAGGGAGCCTTTGGAGGTTTGTTCCTTGGACCCAGCTGCACACTCTGCAGATGCCAGATTGTCTGTTTTAAGGAGTGTTTGGTGTGTTTAAATGTGTGCGGTAATTTCAAGTGAGGGTCTATAAATACTATAGAAACAAAGCACTCTGTGAAGGCACTATTTTAATTAAGGGGTTTTTTTAACTCTAAGGGCAGGGAAGATTTGAAACAGGCTTTCCAGTGAGGTTGTAGGATTTACTTTACAAGTCATTTTTTAATTAATAGATACGTTCCTGCCCAGGATGCCCTTGAGCCACAGCTGTAATGCTCTATCTAGAAAACTGGCAGAGGTTTACTGAGCTATTTAACACCACCTTTTGCTTTCCTCAGGTGCACCTGGATTGCCCCTAATCAGCTTGTAATCAAAAAATCAGCGTTTTGAAGTGAATTCTCATCTGAAGCAGCGCAGGTTTTGGCGTGAGCTTGTAGGAAACCAAGCAGCCAAAGATGCCAGGGGGTGGTACAAGCCACTGAACCCCCAAACCAGGCTGGGATGAAGGCTGAGGACCCAAGGGGAGCAACAAGGAAGTGGGGAAGGTCCCAGGGGGACCAGGAGAAATGGTACTTCCCCTCCTACAAGTTCAAGGAAGGGAGGAAAAGGAGATTTTCCTGCCCTCGCCATCCCTTGCAGCAGTGAACTCCCCGCAGAGGAAGCAGCAAAGCCCCGAGGGGCAGCAGGGATGTAGCTGGGGTAGGTGACAAGTGCTGTGGCTTGACAGAGGCCAGAGCTCTGGCCCGCAGGTTTTGCTAAAACAAAGAGGTTTTTTCCTCCCAAGCAGGGTCCGGCCGTCCTGCCAAGGCTACTCTGGGCCAGCACCGGGCTGCGGCTCTGAAGTGGATCCCTGGAAGAGAGTCAGCTCCTCGGAGGCCTGGAAAATATTCCCTGCGCTCTGCCGGTGCCGTGCAGGGCTCAGGCTCAGGATTTGGCCAAGGCAGAGGCTGCAAGTCAACAGAGCCCCTCCAGCCCCACTGAATGACTCGTGTCCTCCTCGGAGACTTCAGACACTGCCGTTCGACACGCGATAAATCAGGTTTGCAGGTTGTGAAGGCGGCGGCAGTAGCTGTCAGGCAGCAGCACACGGGGCTCCCAGCGATGGGGAGACCATTTTAGGCAATGTGTGAGCACCAGAGAGGAGAATTCAGGGCTCCCTGCATCCAACGCCTCGGTCGGTTGGCACCGTGTATAGAGACGAGCGGACACGGGGGAAAAGGGGGGCTGCTGGAGGGGCTGATGGGGGGAAAAATGCTTTCAGGCACTGGGTTCTGGCAGGATGAGGAAGGAAACGTGGAACACACACAGGAGGGAGGCAGCTCCGAGGGGCTGTGAGCATCCCTGTATCCATGATCAACACGGTCACCCATAAATCAGCAATATGGCAAAGCATAAATCAGCAATACGTGCTGGAGCCAGTTTGGAAGGACCTGCACTCTGTCTGGCTGTGGTGAGGTGGGAAGGGGACAGGACATCGTGGCTCCCCGGGCGCTGTCAGACCCCAGCATCCACCACCTTTACTCAGCTGAAGCTGGGGATGGGATGACAAAATGACACTTTCAAGAAGGTACGCTGTTTGCTTTAGGGGAACATTAAGCAGATTAGGCATCGCCGTTGCTTAATTCATCTCTGGCTGGGAACCATAAAAGGTTATTGCTGCAGGGAGCAGCCGCATCAGAGGAATTCCCAGGGCAGAGCTGGGGAGGAAGTGTCACTGCCCGGGCCGGGCAGGTCCCCACACACCAACAGGGCTCTGCTGTGCTTTGCCAGAGCTTCCCAGCAGGAGAAACGTGACAACTCTGGGCTCCTGCGTGGGAAGGAAGGAAGTAGTGTCAGGCGTCCACCCCATGTGACACTCTGGGACAGTCCTGGGGGTTTTGATGCCGTGGGGACAGTGGGATCAGCCAGCTGAGCTGGTTTGTCTTGAGGAAGAACTGCGTGTGAGGCCACCGGGAGCCCAACAAAGATGGAAATACTTCAGTTTCAGACCAAGAGTTGAAACTTCCCTCCTGCAAATGCCTCTGCTGATTTCCCTCCGTCACTGGAGATGCACCCCCAGGTGCCACAGCAGGAGACATCACCAGAGCAACCAGCACTGGAACAAGCTCATCCAGCATGGCCGGTCCTCACCTGCCTGCTCTGCTGCTGGGCACAGGATGCTGCAGGTCACCAAGTGTCCCTGGAGCCAGGCTGGAAACACCAGAGGAGACATGGATGTGAGGTCTCACCATGCAGATCACATCCTCCGAGCGTCAGACACTCCCTGTGGCATTTCCACTGGGGAAAGGCCACACCAAATAAAAAGCACCGGTCAGTTCTGCTGCGTGAAACAATCCCAGGAGGAAGGAAGGAGCAGAGTTTCGGGGCATTTCCCAGCAATCAGGGGGAGAGACTGTTGGGAAACCACGGAGAGCCTCATGGACAAGAAAACAAAAAATATTCAGTCTCCTGCTGGCCCCACACCAGCTGCCCTTTACGTACTGCCCTGCAGGATGCCCAGAGCTGTGGGGTAAAACCTCTAGAAAGCAAATGCTGAACTCTTTGTGCCAAAATGGGATGCAGTGCAGTCCTTTGCCTGGTCTGGGCCCCCCATCGCCGGCCGTTGGCAGCGGTGGGGATTGGCTCATGCGGCCCGGGCTGGAGGAGGGGAGAAGATAAGCTGTCCAACACCGTAACACACTGTACAGAGAGCTGCTGTCTTATCACAGCCTCTGGGGCCTGGGTTTTGGGCACGGAGGGCCAGAGGAGCGGGGAGCCAGCGCGGTCCTCGGCTCAGCTGAGGGGTCTCGGTGGGGCTGGGAGGGATTTGCAGCCCCTCTGGTACTCTCCAAGTCACAAGAGTCACCGTGCAGCTTCCTCCAGTGACTTTACTATACATTACTTATATATATGCACAGACTGGTGCATATATATATACAATATATATAATATATATGTATAACTAGTCCATAACCGCCCCAGCAGGCCCAGCACTGGGGATGCTGGTGTCCTAGCCAGGGCTCTAGGAAGCTGCTTGGGGCTCACAAAAGATCAGAGCCTGCACGACCCAGCCTCCTGCTCAGAATTAACATATATATGCACCAGTCTGTGCATATATATATACACAATATATATAATATATATGTATAACTAGTCCATAACCGCCCCAGCAGGCCCAGCACTGGGGATGCTGGTGTCCTAGCCAGGGCTCTAGAAAGCTGCTTGGGGCTCACAAAAGATCAGAGCCTGCACGACCCAGCCTCCTGCTCAGAATTAACCTTCCTTTGACTGTTCAGTTTGGATCTTGCTCTGCACATCCACATCAGAAGAGAACTCAGGGCAGGGGAATGAGGGAGAAAACGCTGGTGGGTATCGAGAGCCCTAATGCCACAGATAAAGGTTCCTGAAAGCATCAGTGTTTGAAGGCAAGGACGGTAGAGCCCAGCTCCTCCGGGACTGCAAACATCCTGATCCCAAGGGCTCTCACTTCCCTCGGAGTCACGGCGCTGGGTGCAGGAATGACCACTTCACACTGTTCCTGGCATTGCCCATCCCTGCCATCGGACACTGTGAAGCCCAGCTGGTGCCACACAACCCACCACAGCTCACACCGTGCTCTGAATACGGGGGCTCTGCTCCTCAGCCCGCTCGGAAAGACAGGAGGAATCTTTTCCCCAGCATCTGCTCAAACACCCAGCTCAGCCCTGGCCGTGCAGGGACGGCTGTCTGCAAACACCGAGACCTCCACCTCACTGGCAACAGCAAAACAAAGTTATTACAAAACCAGAAGGCTGATATTTAACCCATTTCCCAGCTCCTAAAAGCATGAATGTGCCTTGAAAAGAAGATGAGACAGACGGAAAAGCATTAACTAACACTAACACCATGTCCCCTGCAGCCAGGAACACCTAACACCCAGCTCTGCCCGGGGACCCCGGCGCTGCTCGTCCTGGACAGTCTCTCCTGACCCACCCCACAGCAGCCCAGCTCCTGCCACGCAGCCTCATTACCCCTCAGACAAGGTCATTACCTCGCTTAAAGGACCATCTCTTCTTCCAGCGCTTGGAAAACGACGGCCAGGAGTGGTTGAGCAGGGAGTCTGACATTTGGAAGCCCCGTGGAAGGTAAAACCCCGAGCAGGAGAGGAGAGGAGGGAGCCCGGCAGAGCTCAGCGCGGTCTAAGGCAGCACTGCAGGCTGCAGCCCAGGGGCTGCCAAGGGGGGAGTGGAGAAGCCAAGTGTTTTGTCAGAAGTATCAGCTGATGGAAGCTGTAGCCAGAGAGAAATTCCTGGTCTCTGGCGTTCCCACCTGTGCGATGGGTCAGTGACTTCCTGCAGCTGGGACGGGGGATTAGTGGCAACGAGGGCACACACAGCCCCCAAATGCTGCTGGAGGCTTGCAGGTGGAGGTGGAACCAGAAAACAAGCTGTTAACACACCAGCACCCCCTTCCCCTCTCTGCCAAAACCTCCCTGCTCCATTCACGACCGTCAGCTGGTGGCCTGACAAACCACCACCTTTAAGGTGCTTCTGCAGGGGCAGAACCTTCACCTGGGAAACGCAGGGTAAAAGTTAAGACCACGGGCTTGATGTTTGCCCCGGAGTTAAGACCACAGGCTTGATGTTTGCCCCTTTGGCAACGTTTTCAATCACCAAGTACAACCTCTGCAAGGGAAGGGGCGAGACCCTGAACCACCTGCAACATCAGCATCATCTTGCAGCTCACAGCAAACCCCCACCCCTGGCAAGGACCTTTCTCCAAACCCTTCTCAGCAGGTGGGAGCTATCACCAAACTGCCCCAAGAGACCAAATTCCCCACCCTGAGGTCTCCAAGCCCAGTGCTCCTGATCGGCGCCAGCCCCATCAACTCCAAACTTTGCTCCCAACCCCTCGATGAGGCTGAAGAAGCCATGTTTTACCCCTGGGCAGCTCCTGGGCCAGGCTGAACCTTCTCCCTGCTCTTCAGCTCATGTTTGTGGCCTCGCTGAGCAGAGTCCAGCTGGTTTGGGAATAGCCAACATGGCATGGAGCTGGGCTGGTGTTATGCAAAAGGCAGGTGACGAAGAGCGTTTCCCTCACCCGACCACAAACCCCAAAGCGTCATCTGCCCAACACAACCCTCCCCACATTCCCTCGGCTTCCTCTCCCCGATAACATGGGTGCCCAGCCCTGGAGTGGGCAGTTTGGAGGGGGATTTGGGGGACCCCTCTCGTGCCCGGCTGTGGCAGTGCCAAGGTGTCCTTGCAAACCTCCAGCTGTGGCCCAGCAGGAGCTGAGAGCAGCGCCTGTAGGGTGTTCACCCACCCCAAAGGCGCCCATGGGGACACGCTGTGGGTTAAACCTCGTCTCCTCCTCTTCACTCACAGCAGAGTGAAGCTCCTCACCAGGCTGAAGCTCCCAACCCACATTTGGCCTCCAAGCGTGTGCAGGGGGGGAGGCTGAACAAAGCCCAGAACTTGGACTTTTGGCTTCAAGACAAGCTGCTTCCTCACAAGGCCTTGAGGAAGATGAGTGACAACCCCGTTGTGGGACGGAGCTTGTGTGGAGAGCGACTTACTTACCCTCAGGGCTGGTGGCATCTCCCTGGTGGGTTCCCCGTGCGCGCTCACACCCGACCACCCCGGGCTTCTTCTCCAGCTGCTGGTGCAAAGCAAGAAGTGGAGGCTCATCGGGGAGCGGCGGGTTTGCTCACGGGGGCCTCTGGCTCAACCATCTCACCGCTTCCCCTTTCCGATGGCACAAACAAACCCTCCTCTCCCATGCTGTGTGTCCTCCAGCGCCGGCCCCGCTGCCGCCCCGACGCTCGCCCTCACCCCGCCGGGGGTCAGGACTCTGGAGGGGGGGGGGTCCAGCAGAATCAGCTGGGGCTCAGGGGGGTGGTCGTGCACCCCGAAGCTCCCGGTGTGGGGACCTTTAGAGGAGCTGAAGCAGCGCTGGCTGCGAGGACAGCAATTGCCACAAACTGCTTCCTGTTCCGTTCAGAGAAAAACCGCTCGGTGTGTGCCGTGAGAGCCCGCGGCTCCTTGCACCATCGCTCGTCAGCCTCCTGCCAGGGGCTGCCAGGGCTCCCCTCAACGAGTCACAGAATCACAGAATCTTCTAGGTTGGAAGGGACCTTAAAGATCATCTTGTCCAACCGTCAACCTCACTGACAAAAATAGACACCCACACAACAAACAAGGAGCATCATCACTAAACCAGACCTCCCAGCACTACATCAACCCGGCTTTTGAACACCTCCAGGGATGGGGCCTCAACCCCCTCCCTGGGCAGCCCATTCCAATGGCTGAGAACCCTTTCTGTGAAAAAATTTTTCCTAATATCCAACCTGAACCTCCCCTGGCGCAACTTGAGGCCATTTCCTCTTGTCCTGTCGCCTGTGACTTGAGAAAAGAGACCGACCCCCAGGAGTCCTTCCTCTTGGCTTGACCTTGGGCAGGAACAGGGACCCCGCAGCCCGGCAGGTCTCGGTCTTACAGGGGATGGAGCCCCAGCAAAGCACCGAAACGCCTGCTCTGGGCACAGTCATCCCTGGGGGTGAGAGATGAACACTTCAGCTCCCAAATGAGCAGGGTGAGGGACGAGGCAGCGATCCCCTCGCCGTGTGCCACCCAGAACAGCCTTTTTCTCCATCCCAACCAGCCCCGGGGGCTGCTGAGTGCAGGCTCCTGGTCCCACCGCCCCGAGCACACGCCAAGCCCTAATCAGAACAAGATCCACTCACACTCCAATTACTCAGAGACCGCAGCTTTGGCAGCGCTTGGAATAGCAATTACCCCGTGCTCCAGGAAACCGCAAGAGCAAAGAGGAATTAAGGTTTAATTTCTCTGAAGTCCACGAGAGCTCGATTAGTAGCAGAGATCAGGGCTGCTCCTAAATACCAGGCAGCTGCTCCCGCTGACGGGACGGTGACTTGGCCTCAGCTCAAACCAGGACAAGGTCTTCTCCTCCTGCTCAGGGTCTGACATGGTTTGGGGGTTACCAAAGGGGAGCCGTGGAGGAAGCCTGGAGGAGCAGTGAGGGATAATGGCACAAGGACTGGCCGAGCCTCAGTGGCATCTCCACAGCATCCCAGCGGCAAACCTCCCGCGAGGACACGTTCAAGTCCTGTGGCTTTGCTTAATTTTGCATTTTAGGATCCCCAGAGCACGAGCTTGTGCCAGAAGCGGCAACTCCAAAACGTCTTAAAATACCAGTTTGTTTCTCATCTCTCCCACGGCAAGAGAACTTGGCCAAGGGATGAAGCCCAGCTGAGTCCTTGGTGTCACCAAAAGTGTCGTGGGGTGACGGGCTCCACTCCCTCCTCCAGTCCCGCGTCCGGAGGCACTAGGTGGCATCAGCACCGCACATTTTCTCCTCAACCAGCACCACCATCTCCCTCCCAGCACATCCCAGCCCTGGACGGAGGAAACTGGGATTTGCCAGGGAGAGGGGGGCGAGGAGCGAGGTTGAGGATTCACCTCCACCCCTGCAAAAAAGCGGCGCTTTTGGCAAAAAGAAAAGTCACACTACTCACTTTTATAACAACTCATTGCCCGAGTGTCAAACGACATCGCTGGGTCCCACCGAGGGGCAGGTGGGGCGTGGAGGGGAGCTGAGCTCCACAATGGTCCAGAGCAGCCCCAAAACCCACGTTCTGGTGGGGCAGGGAAAGACCACGGGCAGGGCCAAGGCGTGAAGAGCTGGGGTGACAGCCAGGGAGATGGGCAAGCCCTGCTGGGGCCAGACAGAGCCACAGGGAGGGAAATATTAAGCCCAAAGTATGAATTCCCCCAGCTGTGTGGCTGCAGCATCCCTCCCTGCCATCAGGGATGGGCAGCAGAGCCGGGGGGTGACAATGCCATGAGGGACAACGCAACGCTGAGCGGTTCTGCCGGGTGGAAGGAAAGCAGATCTCCACTGAGCACGCTGAGCGGTTCTGCCGGGTGGAAGGAAAAGCAGATCTTCACCGAGCAGCAAAACACAGAATCACAGAATCACAGAATCTTCCAGGTTGGAAGGGACCTTAAAGATCATCTTGTCCAACCATCAACCTGACTGACAAAAATAGACACCCCCACAACAAACAAGGAGCATCACCATCACTAAACCAGACCTCCCAGCACTACATCAACCCGGCTTTTGAACACCTCCAGGGATGGGGCCTCACCCACCTCCCTGGGCAGCCCATTCCAAGGGCTGAGAACCCTTTCAGTGAAAAAATTTTTCCTAATATCCAGCCTGAAAAGATATACAGAGAGAATAGCGACAGTAAGTCATCCTCCCCCTCGTTGGTGCAGCTGGTGAGGAAGGAAATCTCATCTCTGGAGAAACAAAACCAGTTGGAAAGATTTTGGGCTTCCAGAGGGACCTGTGGCAGGAGAGAAGGGGAGATGTTCCCGGTGCAAACCCCAGTTACAGCTGCTCAGAGAAGAACAGCCCCCCCAGACAGGGATGAAACAGATCCTCAGACTTCTCTTTTTTTTTTTTAAATTTACCTGTGGAGAGGGATGGCTGGTTGGAAATACCAGAAGGACATGAGGGAGCAGCAGCTCTCCCTGGTTCAGGCAGAAGGAATCCCTTCACCCATGTTCACCCCATCAGGCTGCTGAGAACCCGGTGGTGAGGACACAGCCCAACACCCAGCACCCAGGTCATCAGAAGAGTTAAACTGTCAGACCACAAGCCTATAATTAGCAGATGGGGGGGGGTTGTTTGTTTGTTTTTGTTTTTGTTTTTTCTTAACACCATTCATTTTGCAACTGAAAGTATTGCTTATTCCAAGAGAGGGAGTCGGTGCTTTCTCTGTGGTGAAGCAGCGCTCGGTGCTGCACAGACACAAAATGACCAGAGTTATTCTCGGATAATTTATTCAGAATTTTAATATAAACAGTTAATTGTTCAATATTCTGACACACAGCAAGATTTTTTTTTTCTTAATATTCAAAGATATTTTCCGTACACGTCACTGCTTGGCTCTTACATATGAAAACATTGAAAAAAATTAATCAAGGGGGAAGGTTTGTTTGGTTTTTTTTCCTTCCTTTTAAAAAAAAATCATGGCACATTTGATCCTTTATTTCAAACAAGAGGTATCTGCAATACCGTTTGTATTCTGGAACCCTAGATATGCAGGGAGAAAGTGGGAGCAGCAAGGTTAAACAGAGAAAAAGCAAAAAAAGACCCCACAGAACGACGCTTAACACGGAACTGAAACTCTCTGCAGTTTATTTGGGGGAAGCAGAAAGTGTTTGCTTTTGGCTGTGGTTGACAAACCCGATGTCCAGTGCCCCCTGTCAGGCAGGTCCTCACACAAAAACCCTTTTTGATACCCCGAAGAATAAAATCCTTCCCAAAACTGAAGCAAAAGGAACACTTTTCCTTTTTAAACAATGTTCTGTCTTTTCAGGTTGAGAAGTGGCCTCTTAAGATTCTCCACCAGCCAGTTTTTGTGGGACTCGGCTACGGGAGAAGCCCTGGGGAGCTGGGATGGTGGAAGAGCTGCTGGACACCACTGGGAAAATCTGGATGAAGAGAAGAGCTTTGGTATCAAATCCAGCTCAGATCCCTCAGGTAATTAGTCCCGAGCTCAACGCTTTACTGGTGACACTGGGATTTTATGGGGGCTGGGACTCAGTGGAGCAGGGACCTCCCGGGCTGCCCAGTACCATCAGCTGGAACCCTGGACTCAGAACAAAACAACTACCAGAAACACCATTTCTTGCTGATTGCAAATCTCTTGGCAAAAAAAAACAAACCCAAACAACGCTGTAAGAGTTAATACTAACTTTATTGTACAATATTTAAAAAGTCATTTCTCTACCTGTCCCCTTAGAGCTTGCATTGTGCTGCAGTAAATTTGCTGAAACTGCAAAGAGTTAAGTGCTTACTTTCGAGAAGGACAAGCGAATTTTCGTTTTAAAAAGAAATACACATTTAATGACAGCAGGTTTGATAAAAAACGGTAGTTGCAGAATTGCTTTTGAACAGTCGGGTTCCTCCAAAAGTCAACTCCACCATTGGCTTCGCCCTCGCGACGCTCGTCAGAAGGGAAGCCAGGACAGGACAGGTCAGTGCTCTGACACCACCACCCACACACAGAACCCAAGCAGAGTTAACACAGAGCCAAGCAGAAGGTAATAAAAAAGGCCCAATTCAATTAAATTCATACAAATACCAAACTAATCTTATTTTGAATTTCACGCGTTTCTCAACTAACTATTTCTTGATTCCAATCCATTCCACAGCTCCTTTCCCTGGACCACAGGAGACTCCGAGGGGCATCGGCCGTTTGGTGGAGGGGAAGGGTCCCTGCCAGTGTCCCCCTCACCAGGGGCAGCTTTGGGGGAGGCTGGGACACAGCCAGAGGGTTTATTTGCAGTTTTCTTGCTCACTCCAGGCTCTGGACCGATCTCACATGGATCACGGGAGCACCTAGCACAGCCTTGAGTAAGGTTGGTTGGTTTGTTGTGTTGTTTTTTTGTTATGGCACAAAGATATTTTACTTTCTGACTTGTAAAACAAGGTTCCAGTCTTGGTATGAGGAATCACTGCTCGCAGTGAAGGGCCTGGAATATCTCAGGGTCCTTCTTCATATCACAGTGATGTTAAGAGGGAACTCCATGGCCTTTCTACCTCCCCAAAAACGGAGGCTCCAGAATAACCGACACCCCACCCGTCTTGCTCCTGTTCTTTTCCCACTCGCCTTCATCCTTCTCAGGTCAGTAACACAATAAGCAACTTTTGAGATTTTTCCAGAGAGATACCAACATGAAATGCAACACACTAAAATTAAGCAAAGTGTCCCATCGCTATAATACAAATCGAGGAGGAAAGAGATAACGCTACCCATAAATTCAGAGTACCCTTTAGCAACCCAAGAGCAGCCTCTTCCACCCCAACACAGCTGCTTGGTATCAACAGAAATTACCCTCCTTGCAGCGTGGTCTAGTTCCTATCACCTTTCCTGGCACAGAGTTTACGTTTTTTAGCGCTTCTATTTTACAACACAATAGAGTTATTTACAAGCAGCCAATAAAAGCCAGGTTTCCAACCCGGCAGCCAAGCTTTGCGACGCCGCGCTCTCACTGCAAGAGAAGTACCAGATTTGCAAGAGGCTTTCAGGAAGTGGCAATTGAATTTAACCTGCAAACACTTCTGAGAAACCTCTCCAGCCTCACGCTTCAACCATCTGCTAACAGAGACACAGCAGAGCACAGAAAAGATGTTTTTACACCTCCTGCTTCAACCGGTTTTAGAAACAAGTGAAGCTCTGGCTGTTGTTGGGACCTTCCCTGTCCTCCGAGGGCTCCTGAACAGGGTGATGAGTCCATCCTGCTGCCTGTGGGAAGTTCTCTGCCCACAACAAGCAGGATCCAACCCTCTAACAAATGGGAAAAGAGCGAGCTTCCCACCTCCAGCCATCCTCCTGCTTTCCTGTGCTACTGCCCAGCTCCTCCGTGTCCTGCTCCTGCTGCAGCTGGGGGATTCTCACCCCCACAGGGATCTCCCCACGGCAAACGGCAGCTGCTCCCCCACCAGAGACACAGCACACACCTTCCTGGGCAGGAATCCTTCACAACACCCCCCAGAGAGAAGGTTTCCTCTGGCACGTGTTATCTCAACTCATACATGAGCCTTGGTGTCTCTAACAGGTACCAGTGAGATCCCAGGGAGAGGTTTCAGCATCCCCAGGGTGAGGATCGTCCACCAGCAGAGACCAAAGTGTCAGCTGTGGGCTGAGAGTGGAGGATTTTCCAGAAGTGAGAGCTGGGCTTTACAAATGACATTCATCTCTTCTTCCTAATTCTACAGTTCAGTGAGTGTAATCTTTAAAAGCCACGAGTGGCAACCGCTAGTGTCATTTTGTTTCTAAAAAGGGGGAAAAAACCGACATCCTTGCTAGTACCATACACCTTTCCTCGTCCTTGGCACAAGGCAGAAAGGACTGGAGTAATCTTTAGGCGCAGTGTTGGTGATGAACAAACAACTGCTGCGTGTGGAGCAGAGGGAAGAGGATGGTAAGAGCCACGTGGAGGGATGGCCCATCTGTAGATCCCTTCTTCCATGATCCCAGCGGTGCCACCGGCGTGCGCTCCGAGGGGCCAACCAATATCAACTCCATTTCCAAGCCAGACCCCATACAAATTTCCAAGGTTTGTTTCTATAAAAGAGCTTCTATTCCCACAGTTCCGATCGCTGCGATTTAAAAATGTTACCAAAAACAAGGACACGCTGGGAAGGGTTTATTTCAGGAGGTCACATCCTACGGGCAGGATCCCGGATTATCCACGTGCAGGGAGAAGGGCAGTGACCAAGATGCTCCCACCTGGGATGGGGACAGAAGGAAACCGTCTGCTCCTCTCACTCAGGGCATCACTTCACTCAAGTCCCAACATTTAAATGGCTCTTTTGTTCTTTTCTTGTTTTTCCTTTATCACAGCAGAGCTCAGAGGATGATCTCAGACTATCAGATCCAAATTCATACATCGGTTCCTTGCTCAGGTTAGTGATAAACAGCGACGAGCCGTTCTCCTGCCCCATTCCCTTCGCTGAATGGTCCCTGGTATTGGAATCAGCTGATATTGATTTTTCCCTGATCCACAACAGGTCCAGACCAGAATATTTAAACAGGTTTAGAGGTGCGTAGTATTAAAAATATCCTTAAGAAACACTGAGGTAGACTGCACCAGAACAGGACAAAAATAATCCCACCACATCCACCTGCCAAGATTTTACGGATACAAATTTACATGTTCTGTGTGTTTAAGAAAGCAAATTGTTTGCTGTTTTTGTTTTTTTGTTGGTTTTTTTTTTTTTACAGTGTTTTATATATTAAAATAAATAAAAAAATTCTAATAAGAAAAACTTCTCTTCCTTAGAAAAGTGTGAGAATATGTCTTCTTTCCTGCAGTGTGGTACAGAGCTGCTAAACAGTTACTACTTTATAAAGCAGAAGAAATGTAAACGAGGCCTTTTGAAATCCAAGGTTCTTACCCCTGTCTGGAACTTTCCGTTTTCCATCTGACTTTGTGAGCAACCTGCACCCTCCACCTTTGTCTGAACCCACCAGATTCACCCAGCACCAAGGCCTGGAGGCTCCTGGGGGTGCTCAGAGTCCATCGTCCCCCCCATCCCTCGAGAAGTACCAGATTTGCAAGAGGCGTTCAGGAAGTGGCAATTGAATTTAACCTGCAAACACTTCTCAGAAACCTCTCCAGCTGGCTACGAGCAGAGCAGCTCCAAGAGGCACTTCCCACCCAACTCCAGCCCCTTTCCTGTGGCTACAGGGAGAGACCAGCAGCACCACCCCAGCTGGAATAAAAATCCACACACCAGCTCCGCGTCCCGAGTCGGAAAAACCTCCTTTTCTCCCGGCAGAGAGCACTTACTGCCTCTTGGCCTTCTCCAAGGAGGAGAAGTGGAGCACTGAGCATCTCCCTCCCCTTTTAAAACCACCTCCTGTTTGACAAAAAGGGCCTGCAAACATCCATCATCTCCATTTCCCGCTTTAGCACCTCTCCCTGCCAGGCACGTGCCCCCCAGCACCACGAGACACGTTTATAGTTTCACGATTATTTTCCAACATCTTAATGCTCATGGGGTCTGTCTTTTTAACGCGAGCAGCAGCGAAACAAAGCACGGTCCAGGAGACAAAAAGCTGAGATCCCAAAGAGCTGAAAGCAGAGGCGTCCCCGGGGAGGCTGCAGGACGCAGCGCCCGTATCTCAGGAAAAACACGAAAGGCCCCGCGGGCAGCAGGAGGCCAGACGCTGGAGCAGCAGCAGACAGGCAGCAGGTACCAACCACAGTCACATCCAGCTTCTGCTTCACCCGCAGAGCCAAGAGCCTGGTGCTCTCCCCACTTCAGATGGGCTTTAGTGTCTCTTTTTTGGGGTCAGAGCTCTCGCTCCTCCCCTCTCGCCGCGCAGACGGCAAAGCAAGGGATGGAGGGGACACAGGAGCAGCAGGAGCAGGATGTTCAGATGTTCCTTCAGCCCCCAACCCAAGTCCCAACTACTTTATCTCAGGGCTACTTCGGCCGGAGCCAGCTGACTGCACTGTATAAATCAGGAAACTGTATGAGAAAGCCTTGTCAAGTATAAACTCAACATGCGCTTTGTCGCTCCTAAAAGGGGAATCGGCTAAAATGAGTTCGTTCTGAAATCTTTGGACCACTTTAAGACCAAACAGTCCCCCACATTCTCCCCTCCCCGAAAGGATCATAAACAGTCAATAATTTATAGGAAGTTAAAATTTAAACTAAAGGCATTTTTAAATATGTTACAACAAACAATATATATACTCGATGCTGAAAGGACAGAAAACTCCCGTGTCGGGGGACTCCTATTTCGTTTGGTCTTGAAAGTACCCACAAATCTCAGATTTCTGCTCCTTTGGCTCCCAGCACATTTTCCTCATTTGTTAATGAGAGAAAACCTACTCCCAAGAGTCCTTAGTATAAAAATACTCTGTTTAGGATTCAGACACTCCAGGGAAATGGGAGAAAAAAAAAAGAAAAAGATAAGTACACACTTCCGAGAAGAGGAAAGCTTCTGTGAGAACATACAAAACTTATGTACAAAAACCAAAAGAAGCGTATATTTTGCTATACATATACACCCCACATATAGATACTGCACACACACACGGACACACACACACACACACACACACGCACGCACCCCTGGGGTTTAACCCATTGAAAAAGTATGAAAGCAGCAGCTATTGGTCAATCTGAGGATCTGGCGCTGTGTCCGACTGCTGTGTTGAATCCTTCAGCCTGTAGTGAAGACTATGCCTGAAAGCCTGGAATTCTACTGGAAACATGGTTGTTGGTTTTGGTTTTTTTTTTTTTTTGTCCTGCAGAAGTTTTGTTCCGCACCGTTAACGCCGGAGCTCGGATACCAGCAAATCTCACGTCTTTTGTTGGCAAACGTGGAGGCTCCTCCTTCAGCTGAACTGACACGGTGGCTTCCTGTTTTGAAACCATGGTTACAGAAGGGACAGCAGCCATGGAAACCTCTTCCATTTATGTTCACAGATAAGTCCACTGACAACCAGTCAAAAAAAAAAAAAAAAAAAAAAAAAGTATTAATCATAAGATGATTAAAAAATCTGAAGAGTCTGTAGATCTGTGTCATACACTGTGGCAGCAATAACGAGAGTCCTGAGATTTGTGGAGGGGGGAAAAAAGCAGACACAACCCTTGGGCCGAACGGGAAGTGTTAGGAAGGACTTGACCTGGGCATGGAGAGAATCCGCCCGTTTTTCTTGCCACCGTTCATGTGAGTGTAAGGTATGTGCTCTTCATAGTTCCCCTTGAGGGCCATGGAGGGTCCATTGTCCCTCCCCAGGACTTTGTCCCTCTGCGAGTACGAGGAGGGGTCGAGGGGAATGCTCTCCATGTTCTCGAAGTCCATCTCATACTCCTCCGTCTCCAGAGGTTTGTTCTCCTCGCTGTAGAAGAAGGAGACCTCGTGGAAGCTGGGATCCAAGTCCTCCTTCAGCATCTCGATGATCTCGATGAAGGTGGGGCGCATTTTGGGGTTGTACTGCCAGCACATCTGCATCAGGCTGTGCCTACAGCAGGAGAAACAAGAGTCAGGGGGTGGAAGAAACAGCCCCACGTAGGTAGAGCTGGCACAGAGCAGGACCAGCTCCCTGGCAGACCACCCACCACCCACACTACTCCTCCAGCACTCCATCCGAGTTGTTTGTTCTCTTCCCACTCTCCCTATTTGCCCGTAGATCCTGAGACTCCTTTCTCTCTATTTCTGTCTAGATCAAAAATTCCTTCCAATTCCTTCAATTGTTCTTAACTCGGCTTCCGAAGGAAGCAGGGCTGCAGTTCCCATACTCTGTGGATGTACACGTGCACTTACGGCCAGGTCACAATTTTTTAATTCATTCCATTTCAATTCTAACTCAGCCTGAAAGATAACAAAGGTCCTAAAACTTCAAGGAAAACAGGAGGCTGGGCAGAGGACAGAGGTCCCGTAAACATCCCACCCCAAAGAAAGGCTGCGGCAAGAGGTCACGTGTTATCAGACACCACTTACAAGTACAAATAAAGTTTCAAACTGGAGTCTGTAACTGGCCACCAGAGACAAATGCCCAGGTCACGAGGCTTTTTTTTTTTCATACAGATACTCACAAAACATGTTTATTTTTTGACTCTGGAAGGGCTGTTTTGGCCAGACACGGGCTGGGGTAAGAGGTTACCAGGTTGCCTCTCGCCGCTGGATGCTGCTTCACTGAGCAGCAGCTCCTGACACCCTCCTGTCAGAGCTCCCTGGCTCAGGTTAAACGGTCAGTAATGGGATTTTTTTTTTGTTTTAATTCTCATTTAATTCCCAGAAGAGGCTCGGGGAGCAGCTGGGTGTGCAGCCGTGCTGGACGACCCGGGGACGCAGCAGCCTCCGGACGGTCACGTCACGAGCAGCTGCAGAGACAAACCCTGAAGCCCGGAGCAGGAGAAGCTCTGGCTGCTGTTTGCAGCCCCTGCTGGGTGTTTTTCACCCCGTTCACACAGTGCCCTCTCCTCTCTAACCCCGTGAGTGGCCCAGCCTCATCCTTTACGTGAGGCAATGCGTCTACAACAGAAATAAAAAGGCCTCAGACACGATAAAAACAGCCCTTGGCTCTGCACAGCCTTCTCCTGCCTCTCCCCCCTCATTAGCCATAAAGTGGATTTCTGAAAATCAGGGGTAAAAAGTTGCTCTAGTTCTTAAGACTCTTTACGTAGTAGAGAGAGATGAGTTAACAGAAAAAACTCAGCAGACCTGGGATTAACAGGCTGCTCTCCAGCCCCTGTAGCCACGTCTTTACGTAGTAGAGAGAGATGAGTTAACAGAAAAAACTCAGCAGACCTGGGATTAACAGGCTGCTCTCCTGTAGCCACATGGATGCAGATGGTGGCCAGGCTTCGCCACGTGACATAAGCCCACTGCCATCCACCCCTCAGGAGTGGGGGCAAAATGTTTTGTTTGGGAAACAGGGACAGGACAAGAGGAAATGGGCACAAACTTGAAGATAAGAAGTTCCACCTAAACATCAGGAGGAACTTTTTTACTTTGAGGGTGGCAGAGCCCTGGCAGAGGCTGCCCAGGGAGGTGGTGGAGTCTCCTTCTCTGGAGACATTCAAACCCCACCTGGACACGTTCCTGTGGGACCTGCTCTGGGTGGCCCTGCTCTGGCAGGGGGTTGGAGGAGATGATCTCCAGAGGTCCCTTCCAACCCCATGTGATTCTGTGAACTGATGCAGCACTTATTTGTATTTCAAGCTTTTCTTGTGCTTCGTCCTTCCTTCTCTTGAACCTGAACTCACAATGTAAGGCCCAGGTTGGTTTAATTTCCCTTCTAGTGAAATGGGCCGGCTCAGGTCTTGAATTCCTGGGCCAATGAGGGTTGAATTTCTGTGAGAGGTGGCTCGCTAAAGTCTGTTTTGTTCCTCCCCAAGAGAGAAGGGGAGTCTCCTTCCAGTCCCTGAAGGGGAGATGGGGAGGGACTCTGGATCAGGGAGGGGAGCCCTAGGACGAGAGGGAAGGGTTTGACCCTGAAAGAGGGGAGATGGAGCTGAGATGTGGGGAAGAACTTGTTTGGTGTGAGGGTGGTGAGAGCCTGGCCCAGGTTGCCCAGAGAAGCTGTGGCTGCCCCATCCCTGGAGGGGTTCAAGGCCAGGTTGGAGGGGGCTTGGAGCAACCTGGGCTGGTGGGAGGTGTCCCTGCCCAGGGCAGGGGGTGGCACTTGAAGATCTTTAAGGTCCCTTCCAACCCAACCCATTCTGTGATTCTAAGAAGCACCCCATGTCAGGCCACCTGTGCTGGCCACACTTCAGCTAAAGAGCACAGCTTGGTGGGTTGTCCCCAGTGTCACCACTTACAGCCTCTCCGGGCAGCTGTCGGGCTGGTCCAGGTACCCTCCATCCATCACAAACTTTAGCACCTGCTCGTTGGAGAGGCCCTGGTACGGCTGCTCTGCCAAACTGCTGATTTCCCAGAGGACAACACCAAATGACCTGAGAGAGAGAGAGAGAGAAGGGTCCTGGTAAGAATAAAACACCCTGGAGAGCTACAAGCGATAGCCTGATTTTGGAGAACACACACTTTAAAAGAGCACCACTATATTTTTAAGAAGAGGGTTTAAAAAAACAAGAGGTTTTGTTTTGTCTGTGCTCCGAGGACGTCAGCAACTCACAATTTAAACCACGTGTGTTACAGACAGGGAGCACTCGAGCCAGAATCCACCCGGGATTGCAGAGTCCAACTCACCACACGTCAGAATAAGCAGTGAAAACACCATCCTTCAGAGATTCGGGTGCCATCCACCGCACGGGCAGCAGCCCTTTGCCTCCCTTACGGTAATAATCCGTCTCGTAGATATCTCTGGTCATGCCGAAGTCTGAGGAAAGCAATTGGGATGTGTTAAATGTCTCTGGGATGTGTTAAACGTCTCTCCTTCCGCGCTGCTTCCACTGGGCACCATCTCCAGACCCACCGTTTCCTTCCTCTGACACCAGGATATTTCCACACACCCTGTAAGACTCTGACAGCCCAACTCGCTGTCATTTGTCACTAATTAACATCCAAAAAATTTTCCTTTTCCCTGCATTTTTGATACGAGCCACGATAGAGGCTCCAGAGTTAGAATTTTTAGTGACAGCTTCTGTTCTAAACGCGATTTTTATTCATCTCCTTTAAGTAAAACAGAGCTCTCTCTGCCCCGAAATCCCACTGCTTTGGCTTTAAGTCCGAAAAACCACCGTGCTGTGGAGTTTTGGTTTATTTTCAAATGTTGCATTTTCCTATTTCTAAAAGAGTTTGGCTTAAAAACTGCTTCTTGTGGAAGACAAATGACTTTTAAAAGGCACTTGACCTAACGATATGATTATTCACACTTGGTTTGTTGAACCCAATACCTTCTTTGTCATTATTCTCAAGAAAAAGCAAAGAACAGCGAGATAACTCCAGGCAGCTGAGGCTGGAAAGGCAATAAACTTTTTGGACAGAGGTTTGAAAATAGAGAAGGTTGAGAAAAGCTGCTCTGGCTCGAAGGGAGATGATCTCCTGACTGAAGTCCAAACAATTCTTTCACAGGGAAGGAAAAGAGGAAAGTTTGCTGCATTTCCAAAGGGAGCCAGAGAAAATCACTTGTGTTTGAAGTCTGGGGCTTCAGATATTTGCCTTTACAACAAGTATGACCCACGGAATTGTCTTCTGCTCACACACTACGTACCTCCAATTTTTACAGTGAAATCTTCTGCAACCATACAGTTACGAGCCGCGAGGTCTCTGTGAACAAATTTTTTGGCATTGAGATAGGCCATGCCATCGGCGATCTCCGCAGCCATCTGGATCATCTCCCTCAGCGTCGGGGGCGGGCGACCAGGGTTATTCTACAACAAATGAAAGTAAGTGTTAAATCCCACATCAAGTTATCTGTTGCACAACAGACTCCCCTCCCTCCCGTCTCTACCTCAGCATCAGGTCTCAAAGAGCGGAGGTAACTTTTGAGATCTCCATGTGCCATTAACTCCATGACCACCAGAGTTGGTTGCCCTTTTGAGACCACCCCGAGGAGGCGAACCTGGAAAAGAAGAGAAATTCCTTCAGGGTTGTGTCCAAAAGCGTGGGGTGGAGCCTAAAATTCCTTCAGGGTTGTGTCCAAAAGCGTGGAGAGCCCAGCTGTGAGGAGAAGGGGGTGTAGCAAAACCAACACCCCCCAAACAAGAGCTCCAAAAGGCACCGCAAAGCCCTGTCATGGTGAGAAGTTTTGAAAGATGCATTTTATAAAACACGACAGGGAAAAATCCGGGCTCTTTTTGATCCACCCTCTCCGCAGAAGCGCCGCTTCTGTTGAGCTTTGGAAGCACCAAAGAACTCTTCGTTGTGTGACGGGACTCGCCGATTGTCGGTGGCACCCGGAGACACTTACCACATGATGGCAGCTGAACCCTTTCATCACGGAAGCTTCATTGAGGAACTCGATGCGCTCGCGGAGGCTGGCCGACTCGTTCACCGTCTTCACGGCCACGCGCGTCTCCGGCTCCCCCTTCACGATGTCCTTGGCGATGCCCTCGTAGACCATGCCGAAGGAGCCCTGCCCCAGCTCTCGCAGGAGAGTGATCTTGTCTCGTGGAACCTCCCACTCGTCGGGGACGTAGACTGTTGAGCAGAGAGAAAGGTTTGGGAATCGAGCAAACACCCTGGAGGTGTTCAAAAGAGGGGTTGATGTAGTGCTGGGAGGTCTGGTTTAGTGATGATGCTCCTTGTTTGTTGTGTGGGTGTCTATTTTTGTCAGTCAGGTTGACGGTTGGACAAGATGATCTTTAAGGTCCCTTCCAACCTGGAAGATTCTGTGATTCTGTGAAGTATCTTTTGAAAGACATTTCTGCAGCAGCCGTGTGTAGCGCTGCCACTACGGGATACTACGGGGGTAAATTTTTTAAAAAAAGAATCATAGAATCATAGAATCATTGAGGTTGGAAGAGACCCTTGGGATCATCGAGTCCAACCATCTCCCCTACTCTACAAAGTCCTCCCCTACACCATGTCCCTCAGCACTGCATCTAAACGGCCCTTAAACACAGCCAGGGATGGGGACTCCACCCCCTCCCTGGGCAGCCTGTTCCAATGCCCGACCACTCTTTGGGTGAAAAATTCCTTCCTAATGTTCAATCTAAACCTCCCCTGTTGGAGCTTGAAGCCGTTCCCTCTCGTTCTATTGTTAATTACCTGTGAGAAGAGACCAGCACCAACCTCTCTACAGTGTCCTTTCATGTAGTTGTAGAGAGTGATGAGGTCTCCCCTCAGCCTCCTCTTCCTCACACTGAACAGCCCCAGCTCCTTCAGCCGCTCTTCATATGATTTGTCTTCTAGGCCCTTCACTAGTTTCGTTGCCCTCCTCTGCACTCACTCCAGCACCTCGATATCTCTCTTGTATTGAGGTGCCCAAAACTGGACACAACACTCGAGGTGTGGCCTCACCAGTGCCGAGTACAGGGGCATAATCACCTCCCTAAAGCCAATCCCATCCCGCTGCGCTGCCTGGATGAGCAGACAAGAAATAAGCACTGAAGAAAGCCCTCATTGCTCTCACCATCACTGGTGCTGAGATACTCCGGGTTGGAGGATGCGTAGAGAGGTCCGGTTGGTCCTTCGGTTTGTCTGGAAGAGACACACAAATTCTTCAGCACATTTGGAGCCTTCGACACGTTCGAACCGAAGGCAGTTTGATTAATGGCCCAAAGCACGCAGCAAATACAAACTGTCCCCCTTTCCAAAGGCACCAAATGTTTCCTAAACTAAATTAGTGTTGCAATCATTATCCGAATTAGAAAATAAACACAGAGTCACTTCCAGCAAATAAACAAAAAATCTTCGGATGTAAGTTTCGCTTGTTCTGGTGGAAACAACATCAAGTTGCACTCACCTCTTTTTCACCAGCACGTAAGCAGCTCCAATAATCCCAGCAATTATTATGGCAAAAATAATCGGCACAATTATAACAGCAATATTGGGCTGAGCATTCACTAAGAGAGAAAGAGAGAGTTGGGGTTATTACAGAGGTCCAAAATCCAAGTCTTTCCCTCAATTCAATCTCCCCCTTAAATAAACTGGAACAAATATGAAACTAGAGGCTATTTCAGGTATAGAAAGTGGGGATGGTCAGAAGGAGAAGTCAGGAAGAAAAGTTGCACGTTTCTAAGTAATTCCAGTTTCTTTAAAGTAGAAGCATTGGTAAATATTTTATGACTCCCTACAGTCACTGCTGGCTAACCCCCACCTTCCAAAATAACCTGGGTTTCTATCAATCAGGAATTGAAGGATGAGAAAAAAAACCAATGAACTCACAATAATCAGCCACATAAAAATAGGTGGGTTCCGTCCAGGAGCCGTTCCCAGCCAGGGATGTGGCTCGGATTCGGACGCTGTAGTTTCCAGGCTGGAGCCCCCGGAGTTTGCAGCCCTGCTCGTTGGCAAAATGCTTACGGGACACGCAGTAGTGAGCTTCCTGCAGCAGGGGAGAGGAGAAGAGAAGAGAAAAGCTGCCTCACTCCACCTCTGGAACCAGGATTCCCTCCTCACCTCCCCGCCCGGCGACCGCACACAGATGGGGCTCTCACATGCCCAGCTCTATTCCAAAGTAGGGGTTCGTCCTGGATTTGCATTTTACAGTTTAGCAGTTCAGGTTACAGAGAGCAGATGCCATTTGCCCTACGAGCCCCTGGGCCCTGAAATGGGAGCCGGGCTGGCAAAGCCCTCTGCCCACACAGGGCTGCCCATGGGCTCTGCTGCTCGGAGCTGCCTTCCCCTCTCCAAGCAACTTCAACTTAGATAAGAGTCTGTTTTCTATCCTTCTGCGAAAAAAAATACCTAAAAAAGCTCCACGCGGAAAGCTGGTGATTTACATACCTCTGTGGAGAGGTTGGTGCTGGTCTCTTCTCACAGGTAATTAGTGACAGAACGAGAGGGAACGGCTTCAAGCTCCAACAGGGGAGGTTTAGATTGAACATTAGGAAAGAATTTTTCACCAAAAGAGTGATAGGGCATTGGAACAGGCTGCCCAGGGAGGGGGTGGAGTCCCCATCCCTGGCTGTGTTTAAGGGCCGTTTAGATGCAGTGCTGAGGGACATGGTGTAGGGGAGGACTTTGTAGAGTAGGGGAGATGGTTGGACTCGATGATCCCAAGGGTCTCTTCCAACCTAGACCATTCTATGATTCTATGATTTGGCCAAGGGGCACCAAGAGAGGCAGATTTTTATTTCTTGATGGTGCCACAGACACAAATTCACCAGTACGTTTTTATGTCATGCTGGTTCACACACAAGGAAACCAGATGGGACAGAACTGCATTCGTGTGAGGACTATTAAAGACTGAACAGTCCTGGGCTCCCGGGTGGAGCTACTTCTCCAGAAGTGTTAAGGGACAAGGAGAAGTTCTCACCTCTGTCTCCCCAAGACGTCCGTAATTCACTTCATACAGCACAATGAGACCATTTGGCTCCTTTGGTTCCTGCCACTTCAAATGCACGGTATTTTTTTCAACCACTTCATGGGTAACTGGACCGACGATGTCATCAGCCTTAGCTAGAACCAAGGACATGATTAATAATAGCTTTATTTCACGTCTAGCAAAATTCAGAACTGCCAATACTTGGGGAGACCTTAAGAGTCCCTTCCAGTCCCTCAGGGGGCTCCAAGAAAGCTGGGGCTAAAGGGGCTCCAGGAAAGCTGGGGGTGGACTTGGGATCAGGGAGGGGAACCATAGGATGAGGGGGAAGGGTTTGACCCTGAAAGAGGGGAGATGGAGATGAGATGTGGGGAAGAACTTCTTTGGTGTGAGGGTGGTGAGAGCCTGGCCCAGGTTGCCCAGAGAAGCTGTGGCTGCCCCATCCCTGGAGGGGTTCAAGGGCAGGTTGGAGGGGGCTTGGAGCAACCTGGTCTGGTGGGAGGTGTCCCTGCCCAGGGCAGGGGGTGGCACTGGGTGGGCTTTAAGGTCCCTTCCAACCCAACCCATTCTAGGATTCTCTGATAATGCTTCATCCATCATGCTTTCCTATCGGGACACAAAGAAAACACCCAGTCCTACACGATGTTTCTGCATTGCAGCTGGCTCCCAGAGGAAAAGCAGCATTTTGGAAACAGCCATTAACCCAAAGCAAAGCTCAGGGAGATAATTAATTACCTTCTGGCATGGTCCTGGCACTGACATAAGCTGCAACGCTGCATCGGGATTCCTGAGCGTCGTGGTTGCAAGCGTGGAGCTCGATGCGATACCCGGTGAAATGCCGCAGGCCCGAGATAACCAAAGACTCCTTAAACCTCACTTTTTCAAAAGGTTTCTGCTCCTCTGTGTTCTCAGACGCTGCTGCAGAATTGTTGGGAGAGGAGGCCATGGTGGGTATCACCACAGTGGCGTTTGCCACCGAGCCAAGGTCTCTGCGTTTTCTTGACGGCCTATTAAATAACACAGGTCACAATTTTATTTGTTATATTCAGGGTAAACACGTTCACCTGAAAAGGAAGAGTTAAAATGGGAGGGCTCGAGTGGCACCGAAAACACAAATTCCAGCCTCATATTTGCGATGAAACAAAGAAATTTAGGACTTTTGAAAAAAAAAAAAAACCCAAACCCAAGCAATCTGTCTAACCCTCTGTAATATTACGTTTCCCTGAGACTCTTTCCCTGCACGTTTTCATGCAGGGGGGCGAAAAATGCTCAACCAACCAACAGTCTGAACTATTTGCTTGGAATTGAAGCTCTTTTAGATCCTCCCAGTTGAACATGACTTCACCGGGCTGCCTCTCGGATGCCGTGTAGAGCGTTGCAATGCTTTGGAGATCATGTGGCACCGAAAACACAAATTCCAGCCTCATTTTTGCGATGAAACAAAGAACTTTAGGACTTTGGGAAAAAAAACACCCCAAACCCAAGCAATCTGTCTAACCCTCTGTAATATTACGTTTCCCTGAGACTCTTTCCCTGCACGTTTTCATGCAGGGGGGCGAAAAATGCTCAACCAACCAACAGTCTGAACTATTTGCTTGGAATTGAAGCTCTTTTAGATCCTCCCAGTTGAACATGACTTCACCGGGCTGCCTCTCGGATGCCGTGTAGAGCGTTGCAATGCTTTGGAGATCATCTCCTACACCTTCTGGCTTCCAGCAAACGGGGTCACATCACAGCCCCCAGCTCTGGGACCTCGGATGTGCACTGTATCCCGGGTCACAAACTTGCATTTATGAAGCCTACGACCAGTTTCACAGCTCACAGAGATACGTAATTTTAACCTTTTCCTGAGAGACCAAATCTGGCACGTTCTTTTCAAGGGATGCATTTAAAACTCAAAAGTTCAGATTGCACCGTGGTTGTGCGGTTTTGTTGACCAAATATCACCTCTCAAATTATTACACTTCAGTCTGAAAAATCAGATTTTTGCAGTTGTAAAACCAGAACCGGCAGCGGGATCCCCTGGCTGCGAGCGAGCGCTACTGGCCAACTTTAACGTTGGATTTTCACTGAATTTCACTGAATTTTAGAGTTGGAAGGGACCATAGAGATCATCTAGTCCAACTCCCCTACTGCAGCAGGATTGCCTGGAGCTAGAGCATGTTACTCAGGGCTGACTATTTTGTCAGTAAATAAACAGAATCAATTCAAGAGAATCAAGAACCGCTCGCAAAATTCATTTTCTTGGGGGGGGGGGAAAGAAAAAAAAAAAGGAAAGGAACAAGCACCAAACCAAAACTCCTCCTTCTAACACTTTGTGTCCTGCCACGCACTTGCCACGAGGAATTCCAGGTTGGAACTAACCAAAGTGGTGAATCAGTAACGGCGTTTAGTTACACAAAAAGAATTAAAGCCATTTGAAAAGGGGACCGTGTATTTTAAGAGGATGATGATCTCTTTTTTTTTTTTTTCCTGCATGTGCATGTGTGCAGCTATTAAAGGGTACAAAGAGTGACCCGACCTGAACCCACACTTGAGGCATCTCCAGTCTCTAAAAATGTCCCGAGCTGTTGAAGCAAATCTCTGCGGCTGAACCCAACCCCGCGCTGCCGCCCTCGGACACCCAGGCAAAGCATTGGCCAAGTGCAGCTACGTGGGACCTTGGGACACCAGGTCTCTGCACCCCCCAGCTCCACCTCCTCTTGGTGATATTTCTCCTCAACCCGCAGATGCAACCAGCCGCAAAGCAGATTTTTAAAATTTCCTCAAACTAAACCTCGGGTCGGAAACGACGCCGTAAGATATTCATCCACCCGACGATAAAATGGGATCCCAGGCAAAGCATTGGCCAAGTGCAGCTCCACGGGGACTTGGGAGACCAGGTCTCTGCACCCCCAGCTCCACCTCCTCTTGATGATACTTCTCCTCAACCCGCAGATGCAACCAGCTGCAAAGCAGATTTTTAAGATTTCCTCAAACTAAACCTCAGGTTGGAAACGACGACGTAAGATATTCATCCACCCGATGATAAAATGGGACGCCGAGTGGCAGGTTCAGCAAAGCACATTCCAGTTTTTGGTTTTCTCTTTCTCTAATTACTAATTAACTCATTTTGGAGCCGCTGTTACCTCGGCTCATGCATTGTTCTGAACAGTGTCCCCTAACGACGGGGCAGAGTTCAGAGACCGGGGTCTGGGTCACGCCATCTCCCACCTCTGGAAGGAACCTTGATGGTCAACCAGAACCTTGTTTGGACTTGGAAGCAAAGCTCCAGGCCACTGTGTGCAAAGTGTGGATTCAGCTGTTCCTCGTGTTTAAGAGAATTTTGTTTTTCACAAGTAAAACAGTAATTTGACCACTGATGCAACACAGGCTAAAATGCAAGAATAACTTCTTCCTTCTCAAGTAACAGAAAGCAAGAAAAACTTTTGCAGCTGTGAACTTCCCCTATTTATTATCCTGGATTTGCAGCAACGTTCTTGCCAAATTTCAAACATCTGAGGTCTTCCCATGGTTTTTCCAGTGTAATTTTTATTGTGGCCATTTCAGCAGCTCAATGACCTTCCCTGTGTAATAACTGGGTTCGCGTTCTCTCTGCTCCTACTCAGAGACCGTCAGCAGGTGACAGCTCTTGGTTCACAGGAGGATGGAAGTGACAACTCATCACATCCCAAAACCCAGTGCTGGGGGGTTTATAAATGCATTACCCAGTTTTGGCCACATTTTTCCACACACCTGAAACCAGCTGAGGAACAGCTGCCCTCTCCTCCCCCTTCTGTTGGCCAAAGCATTTCTACATTTGTCTGTACAATTAAGTGGATGGAACTGGGAAACCCAGAAAAAAACAAAAATTCACTTTTAATGTGGTTCACTCTGTAACCCACAAATAATTTGTAACGTGTGTGTGACAGAGAGAGAGGACAGAGACAGAGAGAAGGGTGAGGATGCTGCTCCTGCAGTAGTGATGGTGGAGAGCACACACAGAAATTACATCCTCAAGGGCAGCCACTTAGTTCCCCTCTGCCTCTCAGGACTTTTTTTGGAAATCTTTCCATGCTTTCCACAGAATCACGGAGTGGCTGAGGCTGGAAGGCACCTCTGGAGATTGTCTAATCCACCCCCTGCCCAAATCCGGGGCAGCCAGAGCGGGGTGCTCAGGACCAGGGCCGGGCAGGTTTTGGGTATCTCCAAGGATGGAGACTCCACAACCTCCCTGGGCAGCCTGTTCTGGTGAGGAATCACCCATTTGCTCCAATCCGTGCAAAACGCGTTCCAATGTAAGAGCAAATAACACAAGAAAGAAGAAACAAAGCATCAGCTTCCGATGGCCACTTTGTTCAGCTACAAAGGGAGGGTTCATGGCATGGGATGTACGGACGCCCGCGAGCTCCGGCTGGAAGGTGGGCATGGCAAGAAGCATTCAGAAACTTCGTTAGCCTTGCCAGCACCAGAGCTAATTAACCCCCAGGACCTGTGATGGTGTCTCCCAGAGCAATCCACCATGAGGATGGGGAAGGAACAGCTTCTGGGATCTCCAGAGGGGTTCTCAGCAAGTCAGGGGAGATGAGACCCCAGACCCTGGGCACTGCACAGAGGTCAGAAAGCTGGGACCAGGACAGGAGGAGAAAAACAAGGAGACAAGATGTAGGGGGAGTAACTTCTCAACTGCTCTGCCTCCTGCGCCCCCACCATCTCATATTCCTTCCTATTCCCAGCTGTGGGATTCCTCCCCGTGGCTGGCAGAAGGCTTCTTATCTCCAGAGAGGTCAATAAACCACCAGGAGCTACCTAAAAAGCACCTGAAGAATCCACTTCATCTTCAGTTGCCAGGCTCTAGACAGGCTGCCCCGCGAGCAGGCAACAGGCACCGGAATCACAGGAAAACTAATTCTAATTTCCCTTGTCACAGCCTGGAGCCTGTCAGGAAAGACAGGCAGGACACACACCAGCAGGAAGGTACCTGCTGCTGACTTAAAACAGCAGAAGGGGCTTGTTTTAAAAGGATTAATTAGCCCAGGGGGGAGTGGAAGTTTCTTCCTTAGCAGGCTGACAAGGTGGCACATCCTGGTGATTGGTTTCTTCCTAAAATACATACCCCAGAAACTGGGCCTGAGAAGCATCCTGGGCTGGCTGCACAAGGGAATTGAGGAAAAAAAAAAAAAAGAAAAGAAAAGGGAAAAAAAAAAAGAAAAAGAAATCAGATTGTCAGAATTGCCTGCCTACGTCAAGAGGAGTTTGGTCTTGTGAGTATGTTGTGTCCTGGCATCGCTCTGCACAGCGAAACCTGTCCTTCGGGTCAGCGCTAACGGCGAAGAACCAGCACGAGGAGTGACCCTGCACCAGCTTCCAGGGGACACCTGCAGGCACCAGAGCAGGCTCACAGAGAAGAGACACCGTCTCCTCACACCCTCAGTGGCACCAAACACCAAACGTTCAAGTGCAGAACCGTAGCTTTTGTCAAGCAGCTGAAAATAAAGGTTTATTAGCTGAGGGCGGTCAGCGGAGAATAAATTTAGGGCCCAAAACGCACGCCGGAGAGGAGGGTAAATCATTACGGACTCCAACCTGATTCCCAGAGCTTCCTCTGTGAGTTGCATATGAAGTGTGAAGACATTCAACACCCCTTAATGTGACACTGTGTGTGCCATTCAAAACAGGACCTTCACCACCCACAGCGGTCGCATTCCTCATGGTATTGGAGGTATTTCCCAGGCTAAGTGCAAGGGAGACCGCAAATACCACGCTGAAGGACAAGGCTGTGGCATGGTAAACTTCCCTTTTTTCTTTTTCCTTTCTTTGCAACTGGATGAAAAGCTAGACCACAAAATTTGAGGACAGAAAAAAATAAAAATAGCTATTTTTGGCACCATACAAGTTTAAATGAGCTGCAGGCTTTGAGCTCTTTGCTAAGGATTCTCACTTTATTCTGGAGCTGAGGAGAATTCACCAACAGGAATTAAGAGCAGAATCTCCCAAATCTGCAGTAAGAGCAGTTGTGGGTGCTCAGCTCTCCCCAGTCTCCACCACACACACCCAGTTGGACTGGATGGTCCCACGGAAGCCCCGAGGGACTGGCCATATGGCCACGTCCCACCCCAAATTTTTTGTTTAATAATCAATTACATTTCCCCACCCCTGACCACCTGGGAAATATTGTTTGGTATTTCATACCTGGGGACAAAAACCTCGTTGTGAAGGTAGTTCTCAAAGGTCTTGCGGAAAGCAGACTCTTCCAGCTCCTTCTGTATCTGAGAGTCTGTTTTAGGACAGGAACAACATTCCCCGCTGACATCCTCGTTTTCACTTTGATTGTACTTCTGAGGGTCCTCGGATTCAAAAGGAGGAGACCACGTCCTGGAGGGCAGTTTTAATCCTGTGGACAAAACAATTCCAGGATCACTCGTGCTCAGCACAGCAGAAGCAGATGTTTGATCCTACAAAGATCCAAAAGGTGCATAGGCAGGATTCACAGCACATTTGGAAATACTGAGCTGTCGTATCCGGGGCCGGGCAACTTTTCCCTCTCCTATGACAGGCCTTTGATTCAAAATTGTGCTACCTGGAGTTCAGATGCTGGGGATTCAGAGAGTTCTAACCCCCTTCACCTCAGCTCAGGTAACACCGTATGACAGGCCTTTGATTCAAAATTGTGCTATTTTTGACCTGGAGCTCAGATGGGAGTCAGAGAGTTCTAACCCCCTTCACCAGGGAGCAGGTAAGACTCTGGGAGTCCTCAGGGAAACGCTGTATCCTGAAAGAATTCCAAAACAGGGCAGGTAAGACTCTGGGAGTCCTCAGGGAAATGCTGTATCCTGAAAGAATTCCAGAACAGAGGATGCCTTCAAAAATTAACTTGGCCCTCGATCTCCAGAAGCACCGAAACGTTTTCCCTTACTATCTCCACAGCTGTTATTAAGCTTATTCCTCAGTTTAAAAGGAACAAGTGCAGAAGGGAGATCCCCAAAGGAAAAAAAATATCTGATTACTTTGTGAAATAAATGGTTTTGGAGAGCTTTTGCACATAACTTGGCAATAGCACCTAATGTATAATGTAACTGAACGGTGGGAGAACGCAGCTGCGTCTCAGCCTGGTTCTTGAACAAGCCCTGAAAACAGCAAAATTAGGCACCCAGAGCATCTCCAAAGTGTGTGGAAAATCTCCAGACAATTCTGAGAAAGCCTGAGAGAAAAGGCACAGGGAGAGGAACACACCCTCACCTTTTAGGCAGTAATCAAGTTCATAGAGCTCACTATCTTCCGCCTGCTGCTGCCAGAACACCAGGTAGTGTGTGATGTTTCCGTTGGGCTCTGAGGGTGGTTTCCACTTCAGGATGATTTGGGATGAAGAGTTGGAAACAGATATCGGATCTAACGGGACTGAGGGAACTGTGTGGGTGGGAAAAGAGACAGAGGTCACTTCCACCACCCTGTGAGAGCCTGACACAACAAGGGACAAACATGGGGAAGTTTCCATTTCCATGGGAATAAACAATATTCTCCACAGGGGGTCTGCTGCCACCCAGCAGCCCTGCAGCAGCAGACACCAGCGGGCACACACGCTCTTACACGTGGCCAACACGAGCCTGGTAGAAGCAGCACGTGTTGGCACCATCTCCCCATGCAGAGAAACACACCCCCTTCCATGTGTTTAGGAAGGATGCTCTTTGGAAGGACACCAAAGCAGAGCAGCAACAGCAGTGGGAAGTTTCATGGATATGGGACCATCAGGACTACCAGGCAGAGGACTATTTAGGTCTATTTCTCTTTTTCACTCAAAAGGCAACATTAATTTAACGACACTGACCAGTAGCGTTGGTCTGGACGTAGATGATTTCACTCTTTGCACCGTAGGTTCTTCGTTCATCTGAGAAGGTGACCAGAGTTTTGACAAACACAGCGTACTGCGTCCATGGCTTCAAGCCCCTCAGCAGCCACCCTGGCTGGGCCTGGGATTTGGGCTCATTTGACCGCGGAGGTGGGTCAACGTCCACAACCGTCCAACTATTTGACCCACAAGCGTCTTGGCCATCAAACTCCGTCACATTTTGGTATGGCCTTTAGAGGAAAAAAACAAACCCAAAGCCTCAAATTAACAGAATCCTAATTCAAGCTTTCCAAACCAACATTTCTAAAGACATCACTGAAGTTAGGAACCTCTACCCTTTGGAAAAAGTTCAAGTATCTCATTGTACATATTCCGAAAATGAAGCAGAGGGAGCTTTGCAACCCAGGCTCCAAAGAGCACCACTGATGATCCCAGCAGCTAAATCCAGGCTAAGTATTTTCAGCTTCATGAAAATCAGCTCAGTAATTTTGATTCTAAAAGAGCGTTTCCCACCTCAGAGGGAATAAATACCTCAGCATTCCATGGAGATAGCAGGGAGATGATAAACTCCATGGTTAGAGTACGTAAGTCTGGAATAGTTGGAACAACTGATATTTGGATTGCTCTTAAATGAGGAATTTTGACTGTACACAACTCAGATAAGTCGCTTTTATGTAAGGGGAGCATTGGAAACTTCAGTGTAGGAGCCAGAGAGTCACAGAGACCGTACAGCTGTGCCCACAGCAGGTCTAATATCGACTCTTGAAGGCCAACTGCCATTTGTGGAAGCCCAACGTGGCTGGTGTTTTGTAACCGAGCGGTGGATCACTTACGCTTCTTTGTAAAACAGCATAAATCCCAGGAGATCACGGAAATCAGGAGGCCAGTACGGCTCCCACTTCAACAGGATCTTGTCATGAGATGTCCTGATGGAAGAAAACTTCAGCAATTCATTTTCACCTGTAACAAAGGAGAGGAGACGATAATTTTGTTAATGCTAAAAAAAAGGAAGGTCTGTGTTTTTAATTACCTTGGAAGTTTATTTTGTCCACAGATAAATATGAGAAGGTTGGCACTGTGAGACGATAATTTTGTTAATGCTAAAAAAAAATGAAGGTTTGCATTTTTAATTACCTAAGAAGTTTATTTTCTCCACAGATAAATATGAGAACGTTGGCACTGAGAAGAGCTGCTCATTAAAACCCATCTCACCTCGACACTATTCCTGCCCTAAACGAGGCGTTGGAGCCTCCTAAGGTTCCTGCCAGCTTAAATTTTTCACTGATTTTAGGAAAACGAGCCTGGAGAAGAGTTGAACTAAATTCCAACAAGTGGGAAAACTAGAGGCAACGTATTTTAAAATTCATTATGATCTATAGAGCTGAACTCCAAGGCACGGTTTGCACAGCTCCTGTGTTGCCTTCACAGCGCGTGGGCTCCCAGCCCAGCCTGGGGGTAGCCAGTCCCTTTGCAAACAGGAGGGAGGACAACAAACAGTCACAGGAGGGTGGAGATCTGAGGCTCAAGGGACACATTACGATAAGGTACATCCAAGCAGCCCAAGAAGGACAAACTGTGTAGCTTGGGTTGGATTTGCCATCCCTGCAGTAGCTGCACAAGGGAGGAAGAACATTCATTTCACTGGCACAGCATCCAGGACAAACAAGGCCTTTTTTTTTTTTTTTTAAATTTTTTTTTCTCTTTTTTTTTTTTTTTGGTAAACAGGATGCTGTCCATGTGAAAACTAGGCTTGAAATGTAAAAACAAACAAAAAGCCAAACACGCTGAACTGGCAACCTGTGGTTTGAGGCCAGGGGGTGGCACAGAAACAGCTCGGAGCGGAGTTAAAGCTGGCAAAGAGAAATGAAACCCTCTCCTCCCGCTGCCTTTAAACAAACCAACCAGCCCAGGAGCCACACACAACCCCACGACAGAGCTGGGTTTGAACCTCGGGGTTCCAGTCTCATCCACAAATGTGTCTCGTGGGAAGAGATGACCTTTACAGGCTGCTAATTCCTTGTAGCTCCTTCCCTGTGTGACACCCCCGGGGGACGGGATGGCTCTAGGATGTTCTTTCAGTGGTACTGCCAGTTTTTAGGGAGGCAGTCGTTACGTTCCCTTCTCCCCCCCTGGAGCTGGCGTGGCTGCACGTGTTGATGTGTGGCAAACCAGAGCAGGAAACTGATTCAGCTGCGAGATCTTCACTTTCTAAGTCTGGTCACAAATGGCTGCATCAGCACAAGAAGGGCAGAATGGGGGAAGGGGCTGCTCGGGCAGCGCTGTCAGAGGAACAGAGCAACCACGGGAGGATCTAATCAACGCCGCAAGCGGTGAAAAGAGCAAGGAACTAAAATGCAAGGGACTGAAAGAGTAGTTTGATTAATACGGAGAGCACTGGTGGCAATACCTGCTTAAGAGTCTAATGTGTCAACCCGTGTGTGCTCCAGTCCCTGCATGTAGAAATTTAGGAGGGAGAGGGGGTGGGGGGGTAGACAATAAATCAGAGCAGAGCGATGACACGACCCAAGAGCGAGAAAGCAGAAATGGCTGGCTGTTTTTCACCCCATATTATACCCACTTCAACAGTTTGGTTCACCACATGGCCCTGTAAGAGTTTTACTGGCCCAAAGAGGGGAAGGGGACCGTGTGTGACAGGGGATGGGAACAAACAGAGGGGTGGGGGGTGCAGAAGGGACGTGCTCGTGGCAGCGTGGCTGCCAAAATCAGTGCCTGCAAAACTCCCATCTTCTGTAGCATGACTCTGGTTAGGGCACAAAGCAACACTGTGTGTTTGCTCCTCAGTCATGCTGACACAGGTGTTGTCTTATCGTTGTTTTTGAAGAAAGCTGTTAGCTTAAAAACCTCGGAGAAGCAGAACAGAAATTGTTGGGAAAAATTTCCCTGCCCGTTGTCACGGCAACTGGCTCACATGGCTCCAGAGATGGGTGGAAATCCTGTTTCTCTCCTGTGTTTATTCTGTGTGCGCGCTGTCACCTCATGACATGGGAAAAGAAGATTATGACTATTAATCAGGTACTCGGCAGTAACACAAAGTCCCAGGCCGGGCTGAGGTTACGTCGTGCTAAACTCTTCAAAAAGGCACAACAATCCTCTCAGCCCTGAAAAACTCACAGCTGAGCACACACACAGAGCAAACTTCTGGAGACCAAAGTTGGCAGAGCAGGCTCCTGGCCAGATGGAGAACCCAGAAGTACTTTTTTTACTCGTGGCATGTTGACAGTGTCACTGCAGGGCACAAGCAAGTGGCGAGTCACACGCCGGGAGCTTTACCCAAAGGACAAGGACAGTCCCTGGAAAAACATCTCGGGCTGGGCTGAGAGAAATGAGAGTATGAGGGCAGCAAGGCAGAGGGAAAGGAAAATGATGCAAGTCTTGCTGCATCCTGAGACTTTCTTACATGAGGCTTGATCGCCGTTCGTCTTCAGGGCTATGTCGTTCCGTTCCTGGCGCCCCTTAGTCCCAGAGATCTCCTCCATCTTGTGGATTTCTGACAAACACAGTTTGGGATTGTAATGGAAGAAGAGTTTGCCTCGTGCAATGGTCAGGTTGTGTTTACTCCAGTCCCAGAGCTGGCGAAGATTCTGGTTATCCAAGGCGTAAAATGAGTAATTCCTGAAAGCAGAGAATGAAAATGTGCATTGGGGGGCAATCCACTGAAATTGGGGGACAATCCACTGAAATCGGGGGACAATCCACTGAAAACTCTTTCTTTCTCAGGCATTAATCCAGACACCAAAGGAAAATGAACACAAACTGCCTCCCCTGGTAGACCGAAGCCATAAGCAGCGGAGCATTCGAAAATAACTTGGGGATTGTTTGCCAACACAGATCACCCCGATAGCACTGGCACTCCTTACACTTCACAGCATTAAAATAAAGCACCTTTTGAAAGAACTCACCCAGCTTCTAGTGTTTCTCCTCTAATCAGGTGTAGTTTACGAAAAAAAGAAAGAGAAACCAAGGCATAAGACCGGCGAATTTTGAGGTAACCTGAGATTTCTTCTATCAAGCCAAGATTCGCTTCTAGCTCCGCTGCTATGTTGTCTGTGGAGAGGAAAACACTGCTTTCAGTTTTCTGGTATTACAGAGAAAAATCACTGGTGTCAGAGCCCAAATATATTAAATAGAACTGTTTTACACCCATTCCTAAGAACTTATAGAAAACAGGTAGCAAAAAACCCCCAAAAGATCATCACAAGAGCCTTTGGTTTGTGGTTATTCTTCTGAATCACTCCAGGACTCAGAGTGGTGACAGCAAAAGAGAAGTGTCCCAGGTCAGGGTGGGTGTCACATTCACTGAGCTGACACCCAGAGCTCCCTACCCCTTAACTCCTGCAGGACTTACTTCCTCCACGGATATTTATAACTAAGCTGCCATTAACAACCGTGCAGCCTCGGAGCTCCTGGGCCGATGTCACCGAGTCGATGGTCTTCTCCTTCCCGTAGTCACAAACCTTGGGACAGGGCCCGGCGCAGGGCGTACAGTGCAAGCTGGAAAAGAGAAGAGTTGGGGGATGTAGAGGGGATGCTTTGGTGGGATGTCACCTGGGGTGTCCCCAGCAGCTCTCAACAGCAGAATAATCCAGTCAAAGCCACGGTACGGCAGGGGATTCACTTGCAGTGAACGGGGGGCTCAAGACCCTGAGCTTGGGGTCTAAGATCCTTTGGCTCTTAGGAACTCCAAATAACTGCCAATAATTCTTTAAATTGTCATTTCCACATTTCCAGCGCTAATCATTCTGGCCCTTCCTCCATAATAGAATCCAGAATGAAGAGATTTTTGACTATTTTGAATAGCCCCTCCACCACGACGCTGCTCGGGGCTATACACACCAGGGGTTTCCAGATCGAGCAACCCAAGGCCCGGTCTCCATCCCAAGATCGTTAACAAAGCATGTAATTAATGAGCGGAGAGCTGGCCGTTCATCTGGGAACCCTCTGATTAAGGACTGGGCATAAAGTTGCTTTTAAAAAAAAATAATAATAATAAAAAAAAAATGCAAGCAAGCACGTGCTTTGTGCTCTGGGGAAATACTTCTTAAATGGCAACAAGACGATTGCTTGCCCTGGTCATAACACCACAAGAATGTGTTCCCAACTCGTTCAGAGAAATAAATGCTCTAGGAAAAGCACGGAGCAGCGTCGTGAGGTCCCACTGGCAGCAGCCTGGAACCAGCAGTGATGGTGGCTGTTACACAAACAGCACAGCAGCTTCGGGGGTTGCTCGTTCATCCTTTGGAAAAGCAAAACAGGAAATGGAATAAAAAGTCCCCTTACGAGTGAATTCCCTGAAATTATTACGGGCAGGAGCAAACACATGCGAGCACAAAGCTACCAATATTCATAGGAAATCTGACTCATCACAATATATAATGTTATTGTGGGACAAACAACAAAGTTTTCAGTGATAAACAGCTCAGCAGCATAAATTATTTAACTCCTTTGTTGAAAAACCCTGGGAATAGACAGAATGGCTGTTCCCTGCTTTGATTCATGCTTGTTTGTTACATTGTCCATTTATGTCTGGCACAGCTTGAACCTGCTCAATGAAAGTAATTACAGGGACGAGGGACAGATATTCTGAGAACGATCCACTCAAAATACACGATGCTTTTTTCATTAGACGTGACTTTTGCCTATTCTGCTTAATAGCAAGGCTTCCGAGCCCCAGGTCTGCTTTGGAGGGGATGGGAAGCAGGGCTACTAAAACCTCTCCACTGCCCATCTCCCCCAATTACAGAAAGACCCTCCTTTGTCCCACTCGACTGCAAAGACCCTTCCAGCTTGAGGATGCTCCCCTTGTCCTCTCCCTCCATCTCCCTTTCCCACTTTTTCCAAACTTGAGAGGAAAACGAGGGAAGCCAAGGGAAGAACAAACCACCTGCACGCGGTAGGTAGACCTGTCCTCTTTTTAATGGCTTGAATTAGCAAGGTATTACTTTGCAAATCATATTAAAGCGGACCAGGTAGTTGTCACAGCCACTCCAAGGCTGGAAACTTTCCTTGGTCTTGACACCGAACACAAACCCGTTGCCCAAACGAGAGCAAAGCACAGCATGAAAAATAAGGGGGTGGATTCTCGACCTGCAGATGCTGGTACTTACTTGCTGGAATTCATGATGTACCCCGACGGGCACTCGTGAACACACTCGTTGTTGTGGATGACGTGACACCCCGACTCCCTGGCGTTTTTGCATTTGTTGTGCAGCTCCTGGCAGAAGCTGAAGGTGACACAACGCCACCCCTCGAAGCGGTAGTAACCAGGGGGGCAGGTGTCCACACATTTGCCTTCCAGGTAGAAGTTGCGACAGGCCACGCACTTCTCAGGGTTGTTGGGCTCCGTGCAGTCCCCGAGACACTCGCTGTGACAGCACTGACCATCCGAGGTGCAGCCTTGGGACTTGCAGGCAGCTGGACAAACTGGGAAGAGAAAAGGCAAAAAAGGTAACTGAGTATCACAGGACAATCCAGTGATGCAGGACAGGGAAAGGTGTATGAGCCACAACACTTCATCCTGCTTGGTTTGGCAATCTTCCTTTCAGAGAGGCATCTGTGAAGAGCAGACGTCTGCCTCATCTCCACTTTTCAGTGTAAATTCCAAATTTTAATAACATTTTTGAAGAGTGTTATCACCCATGCTCACAATTCATTAATGCTCATTGTCAAAAAGAGAAAACCAAGTTTTCCTCTTCTCTGGGTCCAGTGCTACGAAGCTCCTGGGATAGTTTTGGTGACTCCAACACTATTTCTGAAGCCCAGAAGTGATGAGACTCTACAGCGACAGCTTCCCAGCCCAGAATGGCCAGTTTCAGCCCAAAGATTCTTGTTTCTTAGTTTAAGAAACTGAGGTTCCCACAGTAACAATGCAACTCATGTCCAACGATACTTTAACACAACCCTTCAGCTTTATCAGGATTTGCTTCCTATCTATCACCAGTTTCCCTGGAGGAAGCCTCCAGCCCAGGACCTCCTCGGTGACTCTCCCAGCAAGTCCAAAAAGAAGGGCACCCACAAGTGTTAGTGCTTGAGGTTTTTATGGTTTACTTTTTAATTACCCATTACTTAGTGCCTCACAATACTTTTAATGAGTGGTTTGGGCTTTGAAATAGAAACCAGGCAGCAGAGTAGCTCAGAGCAAATGCCATGGCTGATGCCGAGGGAGGAGCTGGAGGGGGGCTGAGCACCCCCAGAGAAGCTCCCGGGGAAGGACAGTCCTGTCCCTCTGTCCCTTCAAGCTCCATCTTAACCATCCCAATGAGGCCAAACCAATTAAGTCCAACTGCTTAATCTGGACCACACCACAGAACTTCAAGTCAGAAAAGACAGAACAAAACTGGAATCACCACCAGAAGAAGAAGAAGGACCAAAGCCAGGTTGGGCTTTGACGCAGCCATTTCAGCAGCAGGAGGAAGGACTTTATGTGAGGGACAGGGACATGGGCCTGGTTTTGTTGACAGTGACAAACAACTTTTGGGCTACAGCTGTGAATTGCCAAGATGGAGATGAAGAAATCACCTTCTTCTCACCAAACAGAAGGGTTTTCTCTGAGGACACATCTGAACGGCTTCCGACGTTCTGCCCCAAGCGCCCCTCAGCGAAGGGAAGAGGAGATGAGTCCTCCTGAGATCCACGCTGGCCACAACAACCAACCACACCATCTGTCTCAAAATCTCTCAAGCTTTCTGTTCTACATTTGGTGTTGAAGCAGGAGGAGCTTTATCTGGGGAGGAACCAATGTTCAGGGGCTAAAAATGTTAATTTTAATTTCTGGCTAACGCGTGTGAGCAGACCAAGAGTGGAGCATGGTCTAGTTTTATCCCACTAAACGAGCAGCCTGTGGGATCCACCAAGGGTTTGATATCTAATCCCCAGCTGTGGTGAGGAAAGATTGCAGAATTAAGTGTGTTAAAGGAGTTAATGCCATTCGTGGAGCAAGCAGCAGCGGCTGCAGTAGGAGGGGGTGGTAAAGAGGAGCAACCAGGCTGATAAATCCTTTGAAGAAATGTGAAATGGATGAGGTTGAAATTCTATCACAAGGTTAATTTAAAGTCAAATATCCAACTGCTCCACATCAAAAAAACCCCCCCCCCCCCCCCCCGCAATTAAAAGATTGCAGAATTAAGTGTGTTAAAGGAGTTAATGCCATTCGTGGAGCAAGCAGCAGCGGCTGCAGTAGGAGGGGGTGGTAAAGAGGAGCAACCAGGCTGATAAATCCTTTGAAGAAATGTGAAATGGATGAGGTTGAAATTCTATCACAAGGTTAAATTAATGTCAAATATCTGACTGCTTCCACGTCAGTCCTTCCCCGCAGGTATTTCCCCTGTTTTTACCCATGAACCAGGAACACAGGAGAGCATTTCAAATTCATTTGCTTTTTTTGCTGACCGGCTTTTTTGCCCTTTTCTAGCAATAGGTCTTGTTTGGTGAACCTGCCACAATTAGTAACCGATGGAAATGCCACAGCCAAACAGACACAAATTGCAGATGATACCTCGTATTAGAGTCAATCTAAAACAAGAGGCTTGTTTCAAAAGCAGGGCTATACATTCTTTACCAGGCCACAGATGGAGAACAGCCTTAGCAACAGATGTCATGGCTGCGGTTTATTAGAAATGTTGGCAAGGGAATAACCCAAGATAGAAAATTCCAGAATTTAGTCCAAAACACTATCAGACTTACTAATTCCAGTCTAAAATATCAAGGTTTATGGGGGGAAAAAAAAAAGTCTGGGCTATTAAAATATCAAGGTTTATGGGGGGAAAAAAAGAAAAAGTCTGGGCTACTTCTCACACACCTCCCAATATTCCTCGGTGAGCACCGACACACCGATGCCTGGCCAGGATTTCTACACTCGGTGGTACCATCGCTCGTGGCAAACACCTCCCTGAAGTGGGGTTAGACCCAGCTGGGAATAAACTCCTTGGGTGAAGGCACCTGGGAATGGGTTGTGCAAATCTCTGCGCTTCCTGCAAAGGGGTATTTTCCCGGGTCTGTTTCCTGCTTAAGAACTCCAAGGTTTAAAATATTCAAAAGACACCCTTTGTTTCTCAAGGCTTCAGGGGAGCAGACAGGTAATTTGGAAAAGCTGGTCCTCATGCAAAACCCCCAGTGACACACGGTCCCCATTTCACATGAAGCCACACGGTATTTTTTTTGTTTTTTTTTAATTTGTTATGGAAACTAATCTTCAAAGTCCTACGCTTATTTACACGTTTTGAACTCAGCTGCCAATATTCACAGGGCAGAAACTGTTTAAATTCTCAACTCTAAAGATTTTTCAGAAGAGACAATTAAACTATTTTTAAACTGTTCTTAACGTTTCTCTTTTTCCTGTTCTACGAGCTTTTGATGTCTAAAAAGACAGCTTGAAGAAAGCAAAGCAGCCAAGGCAACATCTTTGTTTTTCCATGAAGTGCTCAAGACCAGAAATTGTCAATTGCTTTTTTGTGCAAATCCTCGTGACACAAGATCCTGAAGAGATGTCCTCACCTGGGCTGGTGGGAGGTGTCCCTGCCCAGGGGACACCAACCAGGGGGGTTGGAACTCGATAATCTTTAAGGTCCCTTCCAACTCGAACCATTCTCTGATTCGATGACATTATCAATGTGTGCAGGCTAGAAAGCACCCCAAAGTCACGTAGAAACCTCTTTTATAACCGCTTCTTGTAACTATTACTACAGCATCCAGGTTCTGTGACTCCGGATGGCTCAGATGTAGGGGTTTTTTGGCGTTTCTTTTTGGTTTTTTGGTACCACTTTATGCTTTCCCTGCAAGACAACACTGAATAGGTTTGTGCTGACCAAGTGCACCTCATCGCCCCATCCTCATCGAGGTTTGCAGACCCCAATAAATGTCACTGGCCCGTGTAGATTCACCTCTGTGCAATGAGATCCCACTTTTGGAGCTGGGGCAGGGTCTGGTACAAACCGAGGAGGCAGAGGGTACTTTTAGACACGGCTTCTGAGCACCCTCTGCCTTCAGTTAAAGCCTCAAGAACATGGTGCCCCCCTCTCAGCACGGGGGAAAAAAAAGTCAAATCTCTTCATTCCTCACCGAAGAGGAGAAACTCAAAATGGAACTTCATAAATCCTGGTTAGAGAGGGGGGAACAGCTATTCTGGGGTAGGGGCAGAAGCCACCACGCTGGACCATAAAAGCTGCCGCAGGAAAAAGTGCTTCAGCACCAGAGCAAAGCTGTTTGTGGTTCACAGCAGCCACGAAACCTCTTCATCAGATCTTTAAGAAGGAGACTTTTAAAACCCTTGTCCCCAAGACGACAAACAACATCAGGCTTAACTAATCTGCCCTGGATGGGGGAGAAACGGAGCCGACGCGGAGGTTCAAACCTGTTGTTCCAGGGGTGAATAAATATTTAACCAGGTAGCTAGAGTGGCTCCAAAGACTTAGGAAACAATGCATTTTACAAACCTTGCTGATTATAGATTCAAACTGACATTTCTTCATGCTTGCGGAGGCCCAGCTGGGGGGGACAAAAGGCAGCAGAGTCAGCGCAAAGGAATTTCTACCTCTGCTCCCCGTCGTTTCGCCACGTCCCTGTGCTTCAGGTGGAAACAAAACACCCTGATACCGTAAACACACTCCTGAGCCAACACAGGTAACCAGGAGATCCATATTTATCAGGCAAGTCAATTAAGCATTAAGCTGTTCAGCTAATAAACAGGGTTTGTCTGGATACTTAAGTACGATTAAAACCATTTGCGTTAGGTCTCATTTCTTCCTTTCGGCTAACAAAACAACAGCAGGGAATGGTCAGAAAAAAAGAGAAAAAAACTAAGAAAAATCACCCAGGGTAAGTTTTGCTGCTCCTTTAGGATCCCCTGGGTGGGTTTGAACAGCAGTGTCCTGGGAGAGCTGGACTGAGTCTCAAACGGGTGGTGGTTTGGGTACGATAAATTAATTAAGAAGAAATTCTAAACCACGTGTAAGAACAAGATGCTGCAAAATACACTGTACAGGGACAGACAGTCCCACATGGGTTTGGGACCAATCTCTCATGAATCGACTTGATCTTTCCACCCTGCAATAACAAGCCCCCCTCCAGGGGAAGGGGGGTCAGCAGAGGCAGCCGGGGGCCACCACGGGTCCTGATGGCCAGCTGGGGCCACCAGCCCTGTCCCTTGGCCACCAGATCAGAGAGAAGCAAACTCTCCTTGGGCCGTCGGGTCCTTTTTGGCGGATTACACGATTCTGTGTTTTGATTAGAGAGGAGGCAATTAGAAAGGCTCCAGATCCAACCGAGTCCAGGACAGAAAACAACTGCGGCAGGAGAACCGCCCTCAGCCCCAGCCAATGCCTTTGCTGCCTGCGCAGGGAGGCATCCAACCCTCCATCCAACCCTCCTGCTATCGCACAGGGCAAACACCCCTTAACCCCTTGCCAGCCGCCAAAAACAGAGCTCCC